ACTCACTACATTGTTTGATCCAGACTCGATTATTTACAGACCGTCATCATATAGCTGGAATATTACTGAACATGCTGAATGCACATTAAACAACAGGCAAACAAACAAAAACAAACCCACTGTAGGCCTCAAAAGTTGGATACAAAATATCTAATTGTGAATTGTTTTACTTGAGCACTGGCAAAAACTGTTCAGATACATGTATAAACCAATCTGAACATGCTTGGTTTGGTTGGTTGGTTGGTTTGTTGTTTAACGCAGCACTCAGCAATATTCCAGCTATATGACGGCGGTCTGTAAATAATCGAGTCTGGACCAGTCAATCCACTGATTGATATCATGAACATCGATCCATGCAATTGGGATCGATGACATGCATCAACCAAGTTACCGAGCCTGACCACCCAATCCCGTTAGTTGCCTTTTACGACAAGCATAGTCGCCTTTTACGGCAAGCATAGGTTGCTGAAGATCTATTCTACCCCGGACATGCTCACACTGAAGTTGATTAAAGCTTTATTTTGACTCAAACATATCAAAGTCAGAATGAATGTGTGCATAGTCAGAAGGAGATGCAAACTTTACCAACTTGTAGTGTTACAATGAATTTTTCTTGTTATTGTCATTCACAGTATATCACCTGACTAACCACAGGTCTGGGACCTCCTCAACCTGGTTAGAATCCTGTTAGACGAGTGGACCAAATACTTGCCCATAACAAAGTAGGATACCGTTTCCCAGTAAACAAATTGGCATTCTCATTTGATAAAGTGAACGACTTGTCAGGTGGCAAATAAACTTGGTTAGATTTTCAATATAAGTGTCAGACATGCTGGAAGAATGGAATTCTGTGATGCAGAAAAAGGTGGATGAATTTGGCGAGGGTTATTGATTAGCTGATTGATTAACGTAAACACGCCCTGCGTCGCAGAACCCACTTAGAAAATTAACGTTGATGCTACAAACTCCTTGAAAGAAGCTACTGGCATAAATAAATTATTGGTGGTGAATTTGCAGGGGGCTACCATTGATACTGTTAGTTAAAGGAATCGCGGGGCTAATTGTCTCATTGTGGAGATTGAGGATGTTATCGCTGTACATATTGATTCTTTTGCAATTATTTTTGTATTTTTTGTCATTATGTTATTTGGTTCTTTAACCCTTTTGACTGGAATTTATTAGCAATAGAGAAGTTGTCTGTGTTAAATAACAGAGGGCTTTTGAATGTGAAGAGGAACCACATACTTGATAGACAGCACCCGACACTGAAACCTGGGCAGAAAAGGTCATTTGTGCGCCATGTTGAACTCAATGTCTGTAGTAAGACTGAACTACTGTTAATTTTGATGGGGGGAGTTTCTGTGTTCTGACTTGGATGATTGTGTGTGAGATGAAGCTCGTGCTATCGACCACTGTGTCGTCAGTGTCAGGTCATTAAATTGTGTGACCTGGATGATTGTGTGTGAGATGAAGCTCATGCTATCGACCACTGGGTTGTCAGTGTCAGGTCGTTACAATGTGTGACCTGGATGATAGTGTGTGAGATGAAGCTCATGCTATCGACCACTGGGTTGTCAGTGTCAGGTCATACAATGTGTGACCTGGATGATTGTGTGTGAGATGAAGCTCATGATATCGACCACTGGGTCGTCAGTGTCAGGTTGTTACAATGTGTGACCTGGATAAATGTGTGTGAGATCAAGCTCATGATATCGACCACTGGGTCGTCAGTGTCAGGTAGTTACAATGTGTGATTGCAATTGTGTTCCATGATCCTGACACAATGTTGAGTGTTGTTCGTGTTGCATCAAGAATCTGTATGGTCTCAATCATTATAACCCGACCATGAAATCGGTCATTGATTCCTTTCAAGTTGCATGAGGTTATTTTTACATGTTCAATGAATCTGTAAGCGGACATGGTGACAATGAAATAAGGAAAAAACATAACAGTCTGTGCCAATGCATTTTGAATTTACAAGCCCAAACTTGACTCAGACTTGTCCTAGGGTCATTTTCAATAGATTTATTATAATATTATGTTATTAGCTGAGCTTACTAGACCAAACAAAATTTGACTAGACTTGGGCTTCAGACTTGTGGGTTATGTTTGTTTGTTTGTTTGTTTGTTCGTTTTACGCCACACTCAGCAATATTCCAGCTATATGACGGCGGTCTGTAAATAACCGAGTCTGGACCAGACAATCCAGTGATTGAGAACATGAGCATCTATCCACGCAGTTGGGATCGTGTGCATTATCATGATTTTGTCGCAGACTGCAGTAAACAGAAGACGTTCCGACAGAATGCTGTTTATAGTTACTAAGTCAATTGACCAGTTAGAATTGGCTTCAGCAACCCATCGTGTGGTCAGGCTCGCTGACTTGGTTGATGCATTGTCTTGTCCAGACTTGATGAATATTTGCAGACTGATGTCATATCGCTGGAATATTGCTGAGTGTGGTATTAAACAACAAACAAACAAACAAAGACAAAACTCTGGCAATTTAAAAAAAAATAAAGTGGGGTAGCCTTGTGGTTAAAGCGTTCACTTGTCACACCGAAGACCTGGTTTCGATTCCCACCTGGGTACAATGTGTGAAGTCTATTTCTGGTTTTCCTTGCCATGATATTGCTGGATTATTGCTAAAAGCAGTGTAAAACCAAACTCACTCACTCAAAATACAATGAAATTTGGTATGTGTGTCATAAGTTAGTTATGGGACTCAACATGTGTGTTCTGTGTTGCCCGTTATTCTAACAGTTTATTGGACAATGCCCTAAAAAGTCCTCAAAGTACATATTTTGCTCTGTAAATTACTTCTCATCTAAAATTGCCACACCATTGCACACTGAGGGAGCTGAACGACATGCATGAAGTTTTCTCCTTATCATGCTTTTGATGACATCATATTTTGGTCAAATCATCAAATTTTAACTTCAGTGTTTAGTCATGAGTATTTATGTGGAAGATGTGCAAATGTCGAAACAGACACCAACATTTGTTGAGCGTCTGTCTTTGTTGAGATTTTAAACTGTTGACTACATGTCCAGGTGAGCTGCCATGCCATGGCACTATTTTCATTTTTCATTTTTTTATTTCAATATCACTTGCTTTATCAATACAATAATCATGAAATTTTAACCTCTTCCAACACTGGTGCTCATGTTATCAACCACTGGTGAGTCTGGCCAAGACTTGCCTATTTGCAGGCAAAACGATGCAGCTGGAATGTTGGTGGTAATTTGATCAATGAAACCACGTTGACTCATTCCAATAAACTGCATCTGTGTATGCAATGCCAGGTGCAGTTGGCATTGTGCAGTGCTTTATTGTCATACTGGATACTTGCAGCATTTGATAAGCATTAGAACGATCCGTGTTTGTCATGTTTATTCATGTTCGCACCACTCTGTTCATCTTCCCTAAGCAAGAGTGTTGACTGACTTTAAAGGTCCAGTTTCCACCCTTGCCGAACTAGGCTGGAATTTCTGGGCTCGATCGTAGCGCCACCAGTGGTTGTTACGAGTAATGTCCCTTCCAAGCCTCTCCCATGGACCAATCAGATTCCACCTCTTGTATCACTTGCGTTTGCTTCAAACAAAATGGTGGTGCCCAGTCAAGACGATCTGATCGATAATCAAGATCTGTATTGTGAGAAAAGGGGTCTTACATTGCGAAGTGCATCAAATCACGTGAGCATCTTGATCAAAAACTTGTAAAGATTTGAAAAATATCTGTTGACAACGAGTTGGCGGTGCTGTGCAAATCCTGCAATCGATCGAAATCTGCATAACAGTTTGCGAACTGAATTTCGATTTTGGTGCGAGATTTTGATTGGACTATGCATAGACCTGTTAGTCCAGCCAAAATGTAACTCCATAATACCAGCCTTGTTCGGCAAGGGTGGAAACTGGACTTTTATAGTCAGTTAACTCTCCTGCCTCGAGAAGATGCACTGTGTTGAGCGGCTGTTCACACTGTCATGGGGACTGGAACAAGGAGTTGGCGACAACAGGGATTTTCTATGACAACACACTGCAGCTAGTCTCTAAATGAAAAAAGTGCTAGGGAGATTTGCCAGCGTTTCTTATGTTCTGGGTATCATGAATGCTAGTGCTAGTAGAAGTTTAGTAGAGTGACCTTAAACAGGGATGAGAGTTTTCCTCGGGTAGTAAATATTTCTTGCTAATGGACTGGCCCATTTCTCTGACCCCAGTGACAATCTTAAGCAACCCATGCTTGTCATAAGAGGCTATTAACGGGATCGGGTGGTGAGGCTTACTGACTTGGTTGATGCAAGTCATTATATCCCAAATGCATGGATCGATGCTCATGACGTCAATCACTGGATTGTCTGGTCCTACTTGATTTTTTGCAGACCGCTGTCATATATAGCTGGAATATGGCTGAGAGCGGCGTTAAACAACTTACAAACAAAAACTTTGAAATGAGGAGTAATTCAATGTTTTGGGGAACAAAAACCCATTTTTACGACATTCAGCATGTCCAGTTATTTTCTGGGTTTTTATAAAACCATTGACCTTGCCAGCACTTTTTGGAATACAATTTAATTTCTTGAAGACGCATGATAATGCCATTGCCATTGCCGGAGAACCAATTTTCCCGGGGAAAAAATAAATAATACTATTAATAGTTCAACATGTTCCGTATCAAACTCATCATGCTCAATAAATCTAACTGTTCTTTTGAACAGACAGCATGTTGTTAATTAATTATTTTTATTTGAATTATTTTATTATTTTTGATCGAATGAACAAATAATGATCATTACCAAATGTTTCTTTTTTTAGTTTTTGATTTCGATATCTGCACTATCATTGTTAAAAAAACTACTACTAATATCAATACTCTGGTTACCATGGTTACTGGACATGCTGGAAAAGTGTCTTCAGGCAAGACCAGAATATCTTTTTTCGGTTCCAGCTTGAAGTGTTGCACATGAACTTGATGAATAATATAACATGGTCTATTTTCAGAGATTTCTTGCCAAGAGGTTCAGGCATTGTAACAAGAAGGCCATTGGTGCTCCAGCTCATCAACAACAGAGTGGGTAGGTGCTGTTTCTCTGTTGTTTGCCATGTTGTTGCAATTACTGTCGAGAAGGGGAACCTGCCCTCAGGCATTGCTTCCAGCAGTTTCAGATGTCATCTTGGAACTTGTTATTCGTTCTACATGTTCTGTGGTGTTAGGATATGTTGCTGAGCTCCAGATATCTTTTTGAGCAATGGAGTTTTTACTCTAGGGTTTCTGTTTTAATTGGGTTATTACATTTTTCGTTGGGTTACTAATATATTTTCACTCATCTATTCATCATTCTATTGGGTTTTAACTTTTTCTCAAAATGAGTAAACATTGTGAGATTTAAAAAAAATAATGAAATATGTTTTAGATGTACCATGTGTACATAACTGTCCAAAGTAAAGGCTTGACTCGGAAAGTAAATTAGCTCGTAATTGTGTTTCGGAAATTAGCTCTGTTGTACATATGCTGAAAAACTTTATTGGGTATTTACGCCTGCTGTTTTCAAACAATTGCGTTTTCCGTTTAATGCATGCGTTTCTGTATGCAAGTTAATTGAAAGTAATTGGGTTTTGCATAGTTTTAGGGGGTATTTTACGCAAATACGCAGCTTATCTGTAACTCTGTATGTTGTTAGAAATAGTATTCACCAGGAAACAGAGAATCCTGCTGATGTGTCATTCATTTGTGAAGAATTCCACATTGACCTTGTTGAAAGTCATTATTCATGTTAATGATATATTCATGGCATTAGCATGATTAGAGGGCGTTGACTTGAAAGAACTAATTCAAAGGATTTACTCGAATAATAAATGTCAGTGTTTATCACAGTAACCATGGTAATCTGAACAATCTGCTGTCAGTCCTTTCTTTAAATGGACAGTATCCTAGTTCTCGCTACCGCTAAACAAAGATCTGAGGACATCCCATTATGGGTCACGTCAGACTGACCTTGCTCGAACTTTGACCAACCAATGGAATGACCAATCAGAAGGCAGCTTTCTCGTGCTTTACGGCACTAATTTCAAATTGGTGACTACGCTTCAACATATTTTGACAAATTCTTGATTACAAATTTGAAACCTAAACAAAATAACGTTCTGGAATGGCCAACAGATGGTCTAGATTGTATGGATTCAGTCGTTAAACCCGTAACTATCGTTCGGAATATGCTGTGTTAAAGTTTTCGAGGTTGTATGATTAGAAAACACATTCTGACTCACTTTCATGATCTGGTAAGCGACGCTGTGATTGGTCGGATGAAAGGTCGTTCTGACATGACCCCTTATGGGATGTCTTCAGATCTTTGTTTAGCGGTAGCGAGGACAAAGGTCTGATTTTAAAGAGATTGCCTTTCACGTATGAAACAATTAATCACACCGCCATCTTGGGGCCCAGTGTTGATGTTGTTGACCGATGTGTAAGACTGTGCATGCCAGCAAGGGACGTAACTGAGAATTAACCCCTATCTCTGCCAAATTACTTTTTGGAATTCCGGAAATGTTTTGAAGTTATTTGGCAAGTGTGTGAAGTTAAACACATGATAACATTTGCTATTTGAAATCAACTGATATGCCAAGCATTACAAAATTATATTTCGGTAATACATTGCATCCTTACTGTTAATAACATTGTATTGTGATGAAACGTTGCAGGGACGTACCGTATTCAAGGTAATAAGCACCCAGGGCGCTCTCAAAATTAGAAATAGGGGGCTCTTGTTAGAATAGTATTTTAGTGACACCCTGAAATGTTTATATATGACAGATATATTTTTCCAGAATTAAGGGTGCATATAACATATGAGTGCGTATTATACACGAATAAATAAGTCTTATGTACATGGATCAATCGGAAGGGTGCTAATTGGGATCGTTCACTAGCTAATATATTAACAAATATCGCCGTGGGCGCTTATTGGAGCGGGGCGCTTATTACGTTGAATACGGTATACATGGTATAATTGTCATTTTCACAGCTAAGCAAGAGAGAGAGTCCTTGTCATGACCCAAGTTTTTAACAATAAGATTTAGGGGGGGGGTCCCTAGATTCAAACACAGCTGCTGCAAATCCCAAGGACCCAGAGATTCCCATCTTTGAACTCTTTACGGTACACAGTTGATTACATAGGGACTGTATAGAAAGAACACAAGGCATCATCTGTGATTATTTAATCCTTATTTTTGTATGTACTTTTTTGTGCCCAGAATATGCCGAATTTCTACATCAGAAGGGACGGAAGTACTCAGACTTCAGCGAAGTACGGAAGGAGATTGAGGAGGAGACAGATAAAGCTACTGGCAAAAACAAGGGTATCTCCAACATTCCAATCAACCTGCGGGTATACTCTCCAAACGGTAAGTACCCGGTGTCTCCAACATTCCAATCAACCTGCGGGTATACTCTCCAAACGGTAAGTACCCGGTATCTCCAACATTCCAATCAACCTGCGGGTATACTCTCCAAACGGTAGGTACCCGGTGTCTCCAACATTCCAATCAACATGCGGGTATACTCTCCAAACGGTAAGTACCCGGTGTCTCCAACATTCCAATCAACCTGCGGGTATACTCTCCAAACGGTAAGTACCCGGTATCTCCAACATTCCAATCAACCTGCGGGTATACTCTCCAAACGGTAAGTACCCGGTGTCTCCAACATTACAATCAACCTGCGGGTATACTCTCCAAACGGTAAGTACCTGATGTCTCCAACATTTCAATCAACCTGCGGGTATACTCTCCAAACAGTAGGTACCCGGTATCTCCAACATTACAATCAACCTGTGGGTATACTCTCCAAACGGTAAGTACTCGTTGTCTCCAACATTCCAATCAACCTGCGTATAAGGCACAACAAACTATGCTGATAGGGGGAGAAATGGATCGGGTGGTCAGGCTGATCTTTTAATGCTAGCTCACTAATATTCTATGCTGCAGTTCAACTTGTTGGATACCCCAGTCAGTATAATGCACACACCACTCTAGCGGAGTCAGTATTTTGGAAAAAGATTTTTTTCGAATATTATGCGCAGAAAAGATTACATCGTACCCCTTCAGCGAATTCCGGTAAAGGAACGGGTGAAAAAACTGAAAAAACATCAAAACATGTGCGCTGATGAGTGAAGTAACACTCATTGTTTCCTCTGGTCTCAAGGGGAATTTGGTTCGTGTACTCTCTATGTTAGTTCTTGTTCCCCGTGCATCAAAACATTGAATGCCCACAATCCCAAAGTGTTGACACAGTTAAAATTGGATTTCTTAAAATGGTTTATGTCGTCAAGAGGTTTGGTGTTGGAAACTGGGAAACCCCTTGTTGTTGTTGTTGTTGTTGTTGTTGTTGTTGTTGTTGACAGCCCCTCTCCATGTTTCAGTGCTCAACCTGACCCTGATTGATCTGCCGGGTATGACGAAGGTCCCAGTTGGTGACCAGCCAGTGGACATTGAGATGCAGATTCGGAGCATGCTGTTTGAGTTCATCTCCAAGGACAGCTGTCTTATCCTTGCTGTGTCCCCAGCCAACACAGATCTCGCAAACTCAGATGCTCTGAAAATTGCTAAGGAAGTTGATCCTCAAGGTCAGACATTATAGGAGTCAGCTGTGTGTTAACCTGGCTATATCTGTACATCACATCCCCAGTGTTCAAGTGGTTAAAAGTGGATGATTGCGTAGGTCCACAATCTCATTTAAATCAGATTTCAGTTCTCACTGCTGTTAAACAAAGATATGAGAACATCCCATTACGGGTCACGTCAGAACAACCATTCATCTGACCAATCAGAGCGTCGCTTACCAGACTGGGAAGGTGGCAGTCGGAATTTTGTTTTCTAATCATGCAATCTCAAAAAGGTTAACACAGGGTATTCCGAACAACAGTTACAAGCTGTGCATCTATTTCTCGCTTCATTTAAAATGGATGATACTTCAATGGTCGGTCAAAGTTCGCAAAAGGTCGTTCTGACATGACCCGTAATGGGATGACTTCAGATCTTTGTCTACCACTAGCGAGAACTAAGATATAAGTCTAATGAGATCGGTCGCATCTTCCTGAGGCAAGAGAGTTAACTGACTTTAAAAGTCCAGTTTCCACCCTTGCCGAACTAGGCTGGAATTACTGGGCTCGATCATAGCACCACCAGTGGCTATTACCAGTCATGTCCCTTCTAAGCCTCTCCTATGGACCAATCAGATTCCACCTCTCGTATGGCTTGCATTTGCTTCACACAAAATGGTCAGTCAGGTGGATCTGATCGATAATCAAGATCTATATTGTGAGAAAACGGGTCTTACATCAACAAATCAAATCATGTGAGCACCTTGATAAAAAAACATGAAAAGATTTGTAAAATATCTGTTGACAACGACCTTGCTGTGCACATGCTTTGCAATCGATCGAAATCTGCACGACAATTTACGAACCAGATTTTGATTTTGTTGCACGATTTTGATTGGACTATGCATAGACTCGTTAGTCAAGCCAAAATGTAACTCCATAATACCAGCCTAGTTCGGCAAGGGTGGAAACTGGACTTTTATAGTCAGTTAACTCTCTTGCCTCAGGAAGATGGATCGGTCGGTTCAACTACTATGGGAGATAACCTCAAGGTTCCTAAGACTCAAAATCACCATTCTATTGATGATAAATGTTCTAGACATATTTTTTACCATAGCTTCCTTTTCCTTTGCAGTGGAAGCAAATGTGTACATTCTCGTCTTCTGAAGCATTGTAAACATGTTATATGGCTGTTATACTGTTCAAAGTGGCATTAAGCCTACTCTTCTCTATTTCTGACCTGCTGATATTCAGGAACACGGACGATTGGCGTGATTACCAAGCTGGATTTGATGGATGATGGGACAGACGCCCGGGAAATCCTGGAAAACAGGCTTCTACCACTACGGAGAGGTGAGTGGACATCTGTTGCCTGCTGGGAGATTGTGTGGGGATTGGGGCCACATTTCCCTGTGCAGAGTTACCTCCCTTAGGCATGCCAGACACCTATGATCATGGGTTCGAATCTCAGAATCATGTGTCCTGTTTTGTCACCATCATACCCAGGGTTTCACTGAAGCGACCACCTCGGAGGTCTGCTGGTCGAACCTCTGCCCGGAGAGCGCCTCGGAGGTCTGCTGGTCGAACCTCTGCCTGGAGAGCAGAAAGTCGGACTTCGATACTAGATACCACGTGATACCAAAAAATGTTAAAAGATGGTACTTGTTGTTACCCTGCCTGGCGTTCGGCATTAAGGGCCTAAAACAAGGACTGGTCGGCTCGGAGTCGGTATACTTTGTCTGTGTGGGGTTTTCATGTTAAACTGCGGCATGGTATCTCAGTCGGCTAGCTCTATAAAATCGGTATTAGTCAAGAATAGTACAAGCAGCCACACACACACACACACCCGCATACGTGTCGCTATATAAGCGCAATAATCTTAAACCACATTTCACGTCACCTTCACTTAAGCAGGACATGTCCAATCTTGCTTTACATGGCTTTCTCCAACATTAAACTGAAATAAAATTCAAAGCGGCATCAAACCCAACTCACTCACTCACTATATCTGACGCTGACTTGTTGGCCTACAGGGTACATCGGTGTAGTGAACCGCAGTCAGCGGGATATCGAGGGCAGGAAGGATATCCGAGCTGCCCTGGCTGCGGAGCGCAAGTTCTTTCTGTCTCATTCATCATACAGGTGAGTGGAGAGATGTCTGCTAGGGTTCCCTGACTTGCCATTGTTCTTGTGACCCGTGAAGATCCGGGGTAGAATAGATCTTCAGCAACCCATGCTTGCCGTAAAAAGCGAATATGCTTGTCGTAAGAGGCGACTAACGGGATCGGGTGGTCAGGCTCGCTGACTTGTTTGATGCATGTCATTGGTCCCAATTGCGTGGATCGATACGCATGATGTCAATCACTGGATTGTCTGGTCCAGACTCGATTATTTACAGACTGCCGTCATATAGCTGGAATATTGCTGAGTGCAGCGTTAAACAATAAACCAACCAACCATCGTTCTTGTTCACCAGTAACTGCAAGTTTTCTTACCGTAAAAATTAGGCTTGGACCGGTAATTCATGTTACCATCAGTCCCTGTGGACAGGCAAATGGATTATCCTTATAAATCTTTGTTGTTAAACAAAAGATCGCTGAACATCAATAACATATATTTTCCGAAAGAAGTCATCCTGTTAGGGTTTCCTGTTGTCTTTATTTTGTGCAAGGAAATAATATTTTGTTCTGCTTCAAGGTTAATCGTCCATTTGTAGCGACTTAGTCTGGAACCAGAGTGAAATATTCAGAGAAAAAAAGAGAAAATTGTGACTGAACTTTGTGTGAATGACATGTAGATCTAAGTTACTTCCGAGATGACGTCATTCAGTTTATCAGCTATGAACGTACACTGCATTGAACTTGGCCTGTATTTGACTCTTTCTTAGATAAAATATGTAAAGATATAGGAAATAGATATATAGAAATACATAACTGGCCAATTAAGCAAAGAAGGGTCTTAGTACTGTAAACTACTGCACCCAAATCCACTGTACTATATTGGCATGCAGGGCAAAGATCACCATTTTCTGAAAATACTTTCACAAATAATGGATGAAACAATAATAAAGCATAATAAAATGTTAGTGCTCACAGTTTTAGCAAATCAATAAAATTGTGCAATCTCTTTTGTCAGTTTTCAGCCCCAAATGGTACAAATCTTACAGATTCCCCACCTCACACAACATTGCGAGAACAAGAACACATTACCTGACGTGATCTGTGTGATTGTTTCAGACACATGGCTGACCGTATGGGCACGCCCTTCCTGCAGAAGGTGCTGAATCAGCAGCTGACCAACCACATCCGGGACACGCTGCCAGCGCTGCGCAACCGTCTGCAGACTCAGATGTTGTCCATGGAGAAGGAGGTCGATGAGTACAAGAACTTCCGCCCTGACGACCCCGCACGAAAAACCAAGGCCATGATGCAGTGAGTACTGTGGATAGTGTGGGGACTAGGATAGTGTAGGGACCAGGATAGTATAGGGACCAAGGCCATGATGCAGTGAGTACTGTGGATAGTGTAGGGACCAAGGCCATGATGCAGTGAGTACTGTGGATAGTGTAGGGACCAAGGCCGTGATGCAGTGAGTACTGTGGATAGTGTAGGGACCAAGGCCATGATGCAGTGAGTATTGTGGATAGTGTAGGGACCAAGGCCGTGATGCAGTGAGTACTGTGGATAGTGTAGGGACCAAGGCCGTGATGCAGTGAGTACTGTGGATAGTGTAGGGACCAAGGTCGTGATGCAGTGAGTACTGTGGATAGTGTAGGGACCAAGGCCGTGATGCAGTGAGTACTGTGGATAGAGTAGGGACCAAGGCCGTGTTGCAGTGAGTATTGTGGATAGAGTAGGGACCAAGGCAATGATGCAGTGAGTACTGTGGATAGTGTAGGGACCAAGGCCATGATGCAGTGAGTACTGTGGATAGTGTAGGAACCAAGGCCATGATGCAGTGAGTACTGTGGATAGAGTAGGTACCAAGGCCGTGTTGCAGTGAGTATTGTGGATAGAGTAGGGACCAAGGCAATGATGCAGTGAGTACTGTGGATAGAGTAGGGACCAAGGCTGTGATGCAGTGAGTACTGTGGATAGTGTAGGGACCAAGGCTGTGTTGCAGTGAGTATTGTGGATAGAGTAGGGACCAAGGCAATGATGCAGTGAGTACTGTGGATAGTGTGGGGACCAAGGCCGTGATGCAGTGAGTACTGTGGATAGTGTGGGGACCAAGGCCGTGATGCAGTGAGTACTGTGGATAGTGTAGGGACCAAGGCCATGATGCAGTGAGTACTGTGGATAGTGTAGGGACCAAGGCTGTGATGCAGTGAGAACCGAGGATAGTGTGGGGATTAAGGCCATGATGAAGTGAGTATTGTTGATAGTGTAGGGACCAAGGCCGTGATGCAGTGAGTACTGTGGATAGTGTAGGGACCAAGGCCGTTATGCAGTGAGAACTGAGGATAGTGTAGTGACCAAGGTCGTGATGCAGTGAGCACTGTGGATAGAGTAGGGACCAAGGCCATGATGCAGTGAGTACTGTGGATAGTGTAGGGACCAAGGCCGTGATGCAGTGAGTACTTCGGATAGTGTAGGGACCAAGGCCGTGTTGCAGTGAGTATTGTGGATAGTGTAGGGACCAAGGCCATGATGCAGTGAGAACTGAGGATAGTGTAGGGACCAAGGCCATGATGCAGTGAGTACTGTGGATAGTGTAGGGACCAAGGCCGTTATGCAGTGAGTACTGTGGATAGTGTAGGGACCAAGGCCATGATGCAGTGAGAACTGAGGATAGTGTAGGGACCAAGGCCATGATGCAGTGAGTACTGTGGATAGTGTGGGGATTAAGGCCATGATGAAGTGAGTATTGTTGAAAGTGTAGGGACCAAGGCCGTGATGCAGTGAGTACTGTGGATAGTGTAGGGACCAAGGCCGTTATGCAGTGAGTACTGAGGATATTGTAGTGACCAAGGTCGTGATGCAGTGAGTACTGTGGATAGTGTGGGGACCAAGGCCGTTATGCAGTGAGAACTGAGGATAGTGTGGGGACCAAGGTCGTGATGCAGTGAGTACTGTGGATAGTGTGGGGAACAAGGCCGTTATACAGTGAGAACTGAGGATAGTGTGGGGACCAAGGTCGTGATGCAGTGAGTACTGTGGATAGTGTAGGGACCAAGGCTGTGATGCAGTGAGTACTGTGGATAGTGTGGGGACCAAGGCCGTTATGCAGTGAGTACTGAGGATAGTGTGGGGACCAAGGCCGTTATGCAGTGAGTACTGTGGATAGTGTAGGGACCAAGGCCGTTATGCAGTGAGTACTGTGGATAGTGTAGGGACCAAGGCCGTGATGCAGTGAGTACTGTGGATAGTGTGGGGACCAAGGCCGTGATGCAGTGAGTACTGTGGATAGTGTAGGGACCAAGGCCATGATACAGTGAGCACTGTGGATAGTGTAGGGACCAAGGCCATGATGCAGTGAGTACAGTGGATAGTGTGGGGACCAAGGCCGTGATGCAGTGAGTACTGTGGATAGTGTAGGGACCAAGGCCGTGTTGCAGTGAGTATTGTGGATAGTGTAGGGACCAAGGCCATGATGCAGTGAGAACTGAGGATAGTGTAGGGACCAAGGCCGTGATGCAGTGAGTACTGTGGATAGTGTAGGGACCAAGGTCGTAATCATTCATCAGGACTCCTTGACAATTTTAGTCTGTTTCTAACAACACTATGTCCTCTCTTTCAGAATGATCAACCAGTTTTCCACAGACTTTGAACGCGATATTGAAGGTAGTGGTACCCATGTGAATACAGAAGACTTGTCTGGTGGCGCCAAGATTAACCGAATATTCCACGAAAGATTTCCCTTCCAATTAGTGAAGGTAATGAAGGACTTGATGTTGATGTTGATGAAACAGTCACCCCATTGTAAAGAGCATAGTGGTTGGGTGATACTTTTTATAAAAAACATGATTAATGGATATTCCAACTCCGGGATATTAAAAGCAAAAAAAGTGATTTAAGTAGCACTGTTTTGCTAACTTAACTGTTCACAACAACTACATTGCGGAACAGTATGATAACCTGTAAGACTGACAAGACAGTCATCATGGACACTGTGCTCATGACGACATATTCAGAACACTTCTAAGAAAAGTGTGTATGTATGTGCGTGCAAAGTTTCAGAAGTTTTCACCAAATGGCAATAGGAGTTGCATAGTTTAGGCGGAAGGTGTTTGTTCTGACATACTGAATGAGAAGAAGACTCTGAATAATTCTACTCAATTCCTGATAGGAATACTCATCTTCTTGAGTCAAGGGCGTTAACTGACTATTACAGTCCAGTTCCAATCCTTGGCAAACTAGGCTGGAGTTTCCAGGCTCGATTGTATCGCCACCAGTGGCTATTACGAGTTATGTCCCTTCTATGTGCTTCACCAATCAGATTCCACCTCTCATATCCCTGTATTTGCTTCAAACAATATGGTGGCGCCCTGTCAAAACAATCTGACCTAAAATCAAGATCTGTATTGTAATAAAACAGGTCTTACCCTGCGAAATGCATCATAACACTTCAAATACTTTGCAAATCCTGCAGTTGACCAAAATCTGCACCTTGAAATCCATGTTGTTTACGAACTGTATGTCTAGTTCATTACTCTATTTTGATTGGACTATGCATTGACTTGTTAGTCCAGCTAAAAGGTAACTCCGGAATTTCAGCCTAGTTTGGCAAGGGTGGGAACTGGACTTGTATGGCCAGGTAACTCCCTCGCCTCGGGAAGATTAGGAATACCGTGCCAGCTCCTTCTCTTACAGAAGCTGGAAGATAATGGATTGAGATGTTTACTTTTATTTATTATGAAATAAAGCTAAGCATGTGTCAGGTCCAGCCCTCGTCACCTATTTGTACAACACCTCCAAACATCCAGTCTGATTTATGACCCATCTGCATAGAGTATCCCTATCGACTGTTGAGTCATATATGCTGTACTGGAGCATTATACTGTACAAACTGATATCTGATATTAATACTGATCTTGCAACAACTTATTTTGTCTTTTGTTTTCAGATGGAGTTTGACGAAAGAGAACTACGTAAAGAGATTGGCATAGTCATTAAAAATATTCACGGTATCAGGTAAGTTGTCTGAAGGTGGAAACATCTTGCCTTGAGAAAAGTGGAATTTTTTTGGTAACTAGTGTGGGATGCAATGGTGGGTTTGTAGTCCAATCATTTGTGTTTATCTGTGTTAATCAGATTACGACTGACATTACGTTGATCAACATTTCATAAATGACTTGAATGCCAGGATTGTTGCTCTTGCTATTGACCACTGGTGTGCCTGACCCAGAAATAGCTCGAAAAGTGGTAACTGAAGCGTAAACAATAATTACTTTGCTTGCACTTTCTCGTCAAGATGTCTGTTTTTGCTTCACAGTTCTGTTCACACCTATGTTATGAGGAATTAGCCCCAAGCACTCTGTGCAGTTTGTAATACCGTATTCGACGTAATAAGCGCCCCGCTCTATTAAGCACCCATGGCGACATTTGCTAATATATTGACTGGTGAACAATCCCAATTAGCACCTCTTCCGATTGATCAATGTACACAAGACTTATTTATCCGCGTATAATACGCACTTGTGTGTTATGTGCACCCTTAGTTATGGGCAATTAAATTCTGGAAAAATATATCTGTCGTACATAAACACTTCAGGCTGTCAGCATAAACCACAAAATTTATCTTTCAACTCTGTTTTATCACCAAAATAATATTCTAATAAGAGCCCCCTATTTCTAAATTTGAGAGCGCCCTGGGCGATTATTACGTCGAATACGGTAGGTGGTCAAATGGATCAGGTGATCAGGTTCCGTGATTGTGTGTCATCGTACTATGACGGTGTGTGTCTTTGCTCATAATATCAGTTGCTGAATCCTCTGGTCTGGACTCAGTTATTTACAGGCCGCTGTCATATAGCTGAAATATATAGGGTGTGCTTACAGAATGAAAGAAATATGCACTCCCAGATTTGCACAGATTATGCCCCTTGAACCATCACCCAGATGCCTGTACTCGCGAATATCGTCAGTGGTAAAATCTATAACCTGGATCACAATGGAGCTTTCCTCCCATCTGTTTACATGACTCCCTTGACCCCTGTGAAGATCCAAGTCAGAACTGGTCTTCAGTAAGCCATGCTTGCCATGAGAGATGACTGACAGACTCCCTCAATGCATGTCACTGTATCCCAGTCGCATGGATCGATGCTTGTCTTGTTCCGGGCAATACTTTGACATCTTCCCGAGGCAAGAGAGTTAACTGACTATAAAAGTCCAGTTTCCACCCTTGCCGAACTTGGCTAGTAATATGGAGTTACATTTTGACTGGACTAACGAGTTTATGCATAGTCCAATCAAAATGAAATTGAAATCCGGTTCCTAAACTGTCGATTGCAGGATTTGCAAAGCATGTGCACAGCCAACTCGTTGTCAACAGATATTTTCCAAACCTTTTCATGTGTTTAATCAAGGTGCTCGCGTGATTTGATGCACTTCACGATGTAAGACCCGTTTTATCACAACATAGACCTTGATTATAGATCAGATCGTCTTGACCGGGCGCCACCGTTTTGTTTGAAACAAATGCAAGTGAAGGAATCTGATTGGTCCATAGCACAGGCTTAGCAGGGACATAACTCGTAATAACCACTGGTGGCGCTACGATTGAGCCCAGAAATTCCAGCCAAGTTCGGCAAGGGTGGATACTGGACTTTTAAAGTCAGTTAACTCTCTTGCCTTGGGAAGATGTAATTTGAAACTGTTTACATGTAACTCATACATGTTGTTAGGGTTAAAAGTAGTTGAGTACAGTGATCTACACTGTGTTGCCATCTCCCTGATCGTAAACTTGGAAGTAGATGGAAATGGCTCTAGTTCTTCCACCTGTGAAGATCCTGGTTACGATTGGTCTTCAGCAACCCATTCTTGCCGTAAGAGTCGACTAATATGCAAGCATACTGTTCAAAGCGACGTGTAGCACTAATTCACTCTTCCAATCGTACACAGGACAGGTCTGTTCACCCCTGACATGGCTTTTGAGACCATCGTAAAGAAACAGATTGCGAGGCTGAATGTTCCGTCCCTTCAGGCTGTGGACATGGTTGTAAGCGAACTCTCCAACGTAGTCAAGAAGTGTACAGAAAAGGTAAGATGTCACCTCCTTACAATGTCACAAAACATGACAACGGGCACTGGCTGAGTGAGATATAGGCCGTCCCCCACTTGAAAGTGCTACAAATGACCTGTAATGGGTATTGGCCCACTTTAATATTGCAATTTTTGGCACTAATAATTCCTATATTGCGATACTCCTCACAATATATTGCATGTTTTCTTTCTTCTGTTATTTTGTTGAATGAATGAAAATAGACCTATGAGACTTCTCCCTCACATTTTGCCAAGTTTGTTATCATCTGGCATTTTGTTGGATGTTGCTATGGTCACAATGCATACGTAATAGACACATTATTCCTTGTAAAATACTTATAAAGAACCTGATATTTGGGTATTGGCTGACCTCATGTTCTTCCCCTGATTGTCACCACCTGGCCTGTATCCCATGATATGTAGTTCTCACAATCTGCTATCACAGATGAGCCGCTATCCACGTTTGCGAGAAGAGATAGAGAGGATTGTAAATACCAGAATTCGGGAACGGGAACAGTTCACCAAAGATCAAATAAAAAGTCTGATTGAAATCCAGCTGGCGTACATGAACACAAACCATGAGGACTTTATTGGTTTTGCCAAGTAAGTTTACATTTTGTCTCCATCTCTCCAGACAGTCCAAGTAAGTTTACGTTTTGTCACCATCTCTCCAGACAGTCCAAGTAAGTTTACAATTTGTCACCATCTCTCCAGACAGTCCAAGTAAGTTTACGTTTTGTCACCATCTCTCCAGACAGTCCAAGTAAGTTTATGTTTTGTCACCATCTCCCCAGACTGCCCAAGTAAGTTTACGTTTTGTCACCATCTCCCCAGACAGCCCAAGTAAGTTTACGTTTTGTCACCATCTCCCCAGACAGTCCAAGTAAGTTTACATTTTGTCACCATCTCTCCAGACAGTCCAAGTAAGTTTACGTTTTGTCACCATCTCCCCAGACTGCCCAAGTAAGTTTACGTTTTGTCACCATCTCCCCAGACAGTCCAAGTAAGTTTACGTTTTGTCACCATCTCCCCAGACAGTCCAAGTAAGTTTACGTTTTGTCACCAACTCTCCAGACAGTCCAAGTAAGTTTACATTTTGTCACCAACTCTCCAGACAGTCCAAGTAAGTTTATGTTTTGTCACCAACTCTCCAGACAGCCCAAGTAAGTTTACGTTTTGTCACCATCTCTCCAGACAGTCCAAGTAAGTTTACATTTTGTCACCATCTCTCCAGACAGTCCAAGTAAGTTTACGTTTTGTCACCATCTCTCCAGACAGTCCAAGTAAGTTTACGTTTTGTCACCATCTCTCCAGACAGTCCAAGTAAGTTTACGTTTTGTCACCAACTCTCCAGACAGCCCAAGTAAGTTTACGTTTTGTCACCATCTCTCCAGACAGTCCAAGTAAGTTTACGTTTTGTCACCATCTCTCCAGACAGCCCAAGTAAGTTTACGTTTTGTCACCAACTCTCCAGACAGCCCAAGTAAGTTTACGTTTTGTCACCATCTCTCCAGACAGTCCAAGTAAGTTTACGTTTTGTCACCATCTCTCCAGACAGCCCAAGTAAGTTTACGTTTTGTCACCAACTCTCCAGACAGCCCAAGTAAGTTTTCGTTTTGTCACCATCTCTCCAGGCAGCCCAAGTAAGTTTACGTTTTGTCACCATCTCTCCAGACAGTCCAAGTAAGTTTACGTTTTGTCACCATCTCTCCAGACAGCCCAAGTAAGTTTTCGTTTTGTCACCATCTCTCCAGACAGTCCAAGTAAGTTTACGTTTTGTCACCATCTCTCCAGACAGTCCAAGTAAGTTTACATTTTGTCACCAATCTCCAGACAGCCCAAGTAAGTTTACGTTTTGTCACCAACTCTCCAGACAGCCCAAGTAAGTTTACATTTTGTCACCAATCTCCAGACAGCCCAAGTTAGTTTACGTTTTGTCACCAACTCTCAAGACAGCCCAAGTAAGTTTACATTTTGTCACCAATCTCCAGACAGCCTTTAATGTCTTTGGTATGCTGCGGCCAGGGTTTAAAAAAACACCAACCTTCCGCTCTCCGGGCAGATGCGATATCCACTAGACAACGGAGGCTGCCCCTGATCCTATTGCCCGATAAAGTTGATGTGTTGAAGAGTTGCAGAAATGAATTATGTCTGATTCATAGCACGTCTAAAGACCTATCTTTTCAAGCAGTACTGTTCAGTCTAATTCAACACCCCTCGCTCCCAGCCACAACGTTTTCCTTGCTGTAGCATAACCTGCTATATAACAAATGTAGCACCATGAGCATTAACTTGGTGAATGGAATCTGGCGCTTTGGAAATGGACTTATCATTATTATTATCCCCCGCCCAACAAAGTTGGCGGGGATATAGAAACGGCTCCGTCTGTCCGTCCGTCCGTCACGTTTCATTTCCGGAGCATAACTCATAAACAGTTCAATATTTTTTCATGAAACTTTGCAGGTTTGTCAGGTACATGCTGAACTGGTGCCTTTTGCTATTTAGAAATTTTGGAATTTTTTATTTTTTACGTTTCCATGGCAACAAGATGGACTTAGGTTCTGTGAGGGTAGGGTTCCTTTCCGGAGCATAACTCATAAACCGTTCAATATTTTTTCATGAAACTTTGCAGGTTTGTCAGGTGCATGAACTGGTGCCTTTTGCTATTTAGAAATTTTAGAAGTTTTTATTTTTTTACGTTTCCATGGCAACAAGATGGACTTAGGTTCAAAACTCTTCTTTTTTTTACAATTTCCATGACAAGTTCCACCTCGGTTAAAAAGGGTTAGGGTTTGTTTAGATTTAATTATGTCATAAATTCTGCAACAGGGGCGGGGGATATAGCCACGTTAGTGGCAAACTCTTGTTATTACTGAACTGACATTGAGGCTGTGAGATCTGACTGTTAGTTGACAAGCATTTGGTACGAGAGTGTAGATGCCTGAGTATCCACATATATGGTGTCATGTTGCAGTGCCCAGCAGAAGTCCGAGAGTCAGGTCAACAAGAAGCGCGTGGGCAACCAGGTAGGTGAAATATCTCAAATCTACCACTGGCATAAATGACTGAAATATTAGACAGTTTCATGGAATTATGTTTTGGGGAAAAGATACAGAATTGCTATTTTTTTGTCCAATGAACATTATTTAAGAAATAAACGATTTAATTAATGATGACTCCCTGATTTCGCTAATGTCAGACAAGTCCATTTTATGAACAGGGGGTTAAGTGTTTGGTACCGATATTGCAGGATTGTGTGGAACAAACTATATGTGCAGCATTATTTGTTTTGACTTTTTTGGTTTTTAAGCAATTTAATACATGTGTTTGCTAAAATATATGCTTTATCATTTTGTGTGGAAAATCTCTAAATTTGCCGTATTTCTTTCAGAATTGACAAACTCTACTGCAAAATATTGGAAGTTTGCTTCCAAATGTTCAAGTAGTGGACACTCATTAATATCAGTTGTGTGCCTTTACCTCTCACACCAGGAAAGCAGTTTCTGAAATTGAAAAGGGGTTGACTGTTCCCACCAACTCTCCAAATCTAAAGTTTGTCAGAGGGTTTAGGGGGCACGGGTGGCCCAGTTGTCTCAGGCGCCGTGATTCGCTGTGCAGAGTTGCGTCCCTTGGACATGCAAGAAACCTATGATTGTGGGTGCCAATGCCAGTTCGCCCCGATTATGTTTCTAGGTTTGTCAGCACCATACCCGTGCTCGTGGGTTTCACCGAAGTGGTAAACGTCTGAGACCTGCATCACTCCGGGCTTTCCTCCCACATTAAGCTGACACGCCGTGATATAACTGGAATACTGTTAAAAGCAGCGTTAAACCCAACTCACTCACTCAGGTCTTGGTCCAGTCATCTAAAGTGTTGCAATTTGCTGTGCAGAGTTGCGTCCCTTGAACACGCCAGAAACCTAAGATTGTGGGTTCCAATGCCAGTTCGCCCCAATTATGTTTCTAGGTTTGTCAGCACCATACCCGTGCCCGTGTGTTTCACCAAAGTGGTAAACGTCTGAGACATGCATCACTTCGGGCTTTATTCTCACATCAATCTGACCGCCGTGATATAACTGGAGTACTGTTAAAAGCGGCGTTAAACCCAACTCACTCACTCCCTAAGTTTTCTCAGGATATGGTCTAAACTGAAGTAGACCCTTATTATCCTCTAGGGCGGTCTGGTAGCCTAGTGGTTAAAGCCTTTGCTCGTCACGCCGAAGACCCGGGTTTGATTTCCGACATGGGTACAATGTGTGAAGCCCATTTCTGGTGTCCCCCGCCGTGAGATTGCTGGAATATTGCTAAAAGCGGCGTAAAACCATACTCACTCACTATTATCCTCTAACATTAAAAACATTTTCCCTTGTCCTGAAGCAGTCTTCGCAGCAGTGTTGGTCTGTATTCTATGTCTGAGGCTAGATCTGACAATGACTTCTTCCATTGGTTCCAGGTGATTCGGAAAGGTTGGCTCACTCTCCATAATGTCAGCTTTATGAAAGGAGGGTCGAAAGATTTTTGGTTCGTTCTGTCTGCAGAGAACATGTCGTGGTACAAGGATGAAGAGGTGAGATCTGATTGATGATGTGAACTGTGTCAACATTGATGTCATCAGTTGACAGTACTTCTGTCATGACATCGCTGGGGTAGCCTAGTGGTGAAAGCGTTAGCTCATCTCGCTGAATACCTGGGTTTGATTCCCACATGGGTACAATGTGTGAAGCCCATTTTCGGTGTCCCCAGCTGTGATATTGTTCGAATATTGCTAATAGCGGTGTAAAACCATACTCATTCACTCATAATCGGCAAAATGTAGAAGATCAGTTTAAAGATATGCTGTTAATTTCTATTTTGAAGATATTTGAATGTATTAAGGAACCCACATTTGTAGGTGTTTGGTTGAAGTTTGATTTTAGCTCACCTGAACCGAGGGTTCGTGAGAGCCTTTGTCATGGCATGTTGTCCTTCATCCGAAAAAAGTAATCGCCTATTTTGTCCACTGTCGGTAGACCACTATTTGAAATACAGTGATCCCTTGCAACAAAACTATAAAAGTGTCCAAATAATTGATGAGCGAGGGAACACTACTAATAAACACATATCACAATACGTTTGTAAGATATCCATATATTCCCTTTTTCCAAATCATGCTTATTTTATCTGCTAGGCGTAGTTTTTATAAATGACAAGTCAAACTGAAATTTTGAAATTCAGAAATTAGCAGCTTTGATCGAAAAAGCAAAACTAATCGCGACCAACTTCTTATTATGATGTGTCTCATACGCTTTCAATGTGACCATAACGTACAACAAAATGGCGGACGACTATGAAGTTGTATAGAATATGGGTTATATTTATTTAGGTTAAGAAATTACAGGTAAAAGTCAGCATGCAATACATTGTAGAACATATCGCTGTACAAAAATAATTATTGCAACAAATTGCAATATGAAAGTCCGGCAAATGCCCTTCGCGACATGGCAAGTCGACTATCAGAAAATGCAGGTGAGCTTCAATGCCATATGGCTCCTTTGTACTGTGCAAAGATAAATGAGAATGGTGAAGGCAATGATGTTTAATGCCAAATGAGGGTTCTTTAAGCTTGTGGTGTGGTTTTATTGGAAGTGATAGATAGATGGCAAGATGCATGAGACTTTATAATAACATTTCTGGTATTTACCAACCCCAGTAGTTAACCAGAGATACCAACCATACAATTTTGGCGTAATAATTATGATTCGGAGCCTAATATATGCTGTTACCCTTGCTTCCCCCGAATTACTATTATTGTCACGTTTTATGAAATTATTGACATGCATGAAACACCATGAAGAGACAAGTACCATTCTACAGCAGGACTGTGCTGACCAGTGAGTGTTCCGTTGTGATAAAATAGCCAGTGATATGAGGTCTCTGACTGGTTGTGTTCAAACACACTCAAGTCATTTTGTCAATAGATCTTTACAGGTGTAAACAGGGAACTTGTTGCCTGTACACTGATATTACTCTGGAACTCAAAACACCACGTTGTCTTTCTCAAAAGGAACCCATGAAGATCTGGATAAGAATAGGTCTTCAGCATCCCATGCTTGCCATCAAAGGCGACTAATGGGATCGGGTGATCAGGCTCACTGGATTGTCATTGTATCCCAATTGCGTGGGTCGATGCTCATGATGTCAATCACTGGATTGTATGGTCCAGACTCGATTATTTACAGACCACGTGATACAGCTGGAATATTGCTGAGTGCAGCGTTAAACAACATACAAATAAACAATCTTTCTGAAAAACAGTTAATTAGTGTCACATGATGAATTTAATTTCTCTGCCTAACACAATTATCGAAACAAAAACTCACATTGGTGATTCTCAAACATTATTCTGTTTATAATTATGCTTCCTTACGCCTCTGATTACTCAGGGTTGGCATCTCTGAGTTAACGAATCAGTTCCAAACTAATTTTCCTGGAATGAATTGATAGAAGAAACAAAGTGACTAGTATCCAAAGATGTGTTCATGTAAAACCACACCATGTCACTACACACATGCTATATTTTATTTCAAGAATGATAGCAATTTGTGGGGACATTGAAAATGAAAATTGCCAACTATGAAATTTCAGTTTTAGTTATTTTATAATAATTATAGTGTTGTCACATGTGTGTAGTGGATTTATTGTATGTTGACACTAACTGTGTGTTGAACTAATTCTTTACCTGCCATTCTCACCGCTTCACTTTTCCCTGACTGTTTGAAATCTTGCGTGGACTCTTTATGAAATTAAGTTACTACAGAAATAACCTGCAGCTGATGCTACGATATGGCTCAATTTGGCAAAGGATGCATGTAAATATATTATACATATACAGAACAAAAAAAGCTTGGGATCATGAATATTTGGGGGATATTTGTATGAAATTGTGTGCCCAGTCTTCGCAACAAAAAATATCCCCCAAAATAGTTATGATCTTGAACTTTTGTTGTTGAGAATATATTATAGGCCTATACATATTATATACATATATAAAGATATTTCTTGATTCTGAAAAATTGTTTCTTTCTTAAACTTTCTTGAAACAAGTTTCCTTTGTTCTTGTATCTTGAACTGTTGTCTATTCACACAGCCCCCATCCCTTGAGCAGCGTCTTTTGACATTTCAAAGATTTCACTGCTTTTCTATTCAAGCTTTGATTGCTTTATTCATGGGTCATAGAAGCTCGTTTATTCTGGTGTTTGTTTGGTTAGAACAATCTTGATATAATCTGTCAGAATGACAAAATACAGGGGACAAAATATAAAATTATCAAAAGGTCTGGTTTGAGGTTTATTTTCTAAAAACGTTTGAAAGATTATTTTTTTTACGGATATGTAAATCCTTTTTTTTTTTTTTTAAATGTTTCGATTGGGGATAAACTGCCCTCATTCTTTAAGCCCCCCCTCGAACATTTGACAAATGAATCCGATGGACCCCATGTTCTATTACCAATAAAACTGTTCTCTGATTCCGCTTGGTGTTCACTTCAGTATGTGAAGTGTAATATAAATATCGATAAAATAGAAAGTATAGTCGCGAGAAACAGGTTCGGTCAATTTTGGGCTTTTTTTCTGTTAGTTTTTTTGTGTGTATACAAACTAAAAAAAATCACAATATTTCTTTACTATTTTCACAATATATGACCCATGATAGTGTCCTACCTGTGAAACCCTGTTTCTTCACACAATTCTCATATCCTGCTGAACTCCGTGTGGGAGTTATCCCCCTTGACATAACTCCCAACTTCCTTTCAGGAAAAAGACAAGAAATATATGCTCCCGCTGGACAACCTGAAACTGCGCGATGTCGACGGGGGAATATTCTCCCGCCATCCCACATTCGCTCTTTTCAATACTGATGCTAGGTATATCATTTTAGATGGGCGCCTTTTCTCACCGTTTTGCCCTGAATATTGTCATGCTAAATTTAGCATGCTAATCTGCCGTAGACTTAATGTATGTTCTAATCATGTCCTTGTAACCTTTCGTACACTCTGTATGTTATCAGCATTGTTATAATTCCGTACTTTCTTGCATGATTGGTATCTGCCTGTGTTGAGCATGTTGTGGTGGGTTGTTGAAAGGGGTCATCCAGTTTATTTCATCGTTAAATGAAAGATTGATGCGAACACAATTGCTACATTTGTCTGCCAAATTGCCCATGTCTCGTCTTAGAATTAACCAAAGTTTTTGAAAATCCTTGTACCAGTTTTAATATTTAAATATGGGTGTTTCCGATTGAGGTCAAGGTCATTAGCACCTTTAAAAAAAAAACCAAAACCATCTGAGCCTCCATTTATTTTGTATATTTCTGATGATTTTTGATTTTATCGAAGTAAGTTTTATATTTAAGAAAGAAATATTCCAAATTTGGATGTTTCCTAGAGTTAAAAGCAAAACCCATCTAAATCATTCCCGAAATGAAACAAAACGTGTTCGGTGCCCGATTATTTTGACATGGAGTATCTTTCTTAAGATGAAAATACTGGTTGTCTTGGGATGTATATGTACGTGTATATATCTTTAGTGCCCCTGGGCTTTTCTTTGCACAAAATGCGGGAGGCAGTCAGCATTGCATGAGCAAATCTTCTCACCAATGTCTTCAGGAATTGAATTCAAAATGGAAAACTTGCTTAATCAGAAAAAGAAATCTGTTCTATGTTTACTCTTCATCATTCATCTTAAAAATTTGTTTGATCATACTTTGGCCCAAGTCTAGCCTGCTTTCTGTCAGAGGTCTGACCTTGGGGAAAGTCTGACCTTGACCTCCTACCATAACTGATATGAACAAGACGCCCTGTAGTTTGAACTGTTTGCCCTTCTATTTCAAATTTGAATTTATTTTGTTTTGGTAGGTACTGTTTCTTCCTTGTTTTCTTTGGATTCATTCCGAGGTCAATTCAACCCCCCGCTTTTTGTGTTGGTTCACTTCCTGTACTGGTGCACTGTGGGAGATGTCAGCATGACAGCCATGTTGTGACATCACATGCTTGTATTTTAGGAGAAAGATAAGAAGTACATGTTAAGCCTCGACATTTTGAAGATCCGAGACCTTGAGGCAGGATTTATGTCCAAGAAATATGCTTTTGCCCTCTTCAATCCCGATTCCAGGTAGAGCTGCTTCTTCTCTTACTTACAGACGTTTAGAACTAGAACCGGCCCTACTTCAAACCAAGAGGTCGTTTTTGTTTGGGAACAGTTTACAAAAATGCACATGCGTTGGTGCAGGTGTTTCTTTTTTGTCTTTCTCACTGCTTCTGACAAGTATCAGTGGGCATGAATTATACAAAGTATAAACACATATTTGTACAGTGAAAGCTTTTGATCCAGATGCTAATTTAACCTGGGACATTTCCAGATTTACAATTCATTAGGAAAATGGTAAAGGTCATGAACTTGTACTGATGTTCCTCAAAGTAGTTCCCCAAAGTAGTTCCCCAAAGTAGTTCCTCAAAGTAGTTCCCCAAAGTAGTTCCTCAAAGTAGTTCCCCAAAGTAGTTCCTCAAAGTAGTTCCTCAAAGTAGTTCCCCAAAGTAGTTCCTCAAAGTAGTTCCCCAAAGTAGTTCCCCAAAGTAGTTCCCCAAAGTAGTTCCTCAAAGTAGTTCCCCAAAGTAGTTCCCCAAAGTAGTTCCTCAAAGTAGTTCCTCAAAGTAGTTCCTCAAAGTAGTTCCCCAAAGTAGTTCCCCAAAGTAGTTCCTCAAAGTAGTTCCCCAAAGTAGTTCTCCAAAGGCAGTAATTTCATTGAGGACAAAGACATTAGGACATTTTCATGATTTTAGCACTTAGGAGGTTCTTCTATATCAGTGCCTAATTTGGAAAAAGTCTTTTGGACATTTTGGATGACAATCAGTCAGTGTTCTTGAAAATGAACCAGTCTGAACACTGCAAGTGTCTGGATTAATTGGGTTTTCACTGTATTCAAAGACATTGCTCCAAATGTCTTCATTATAGGAAATGCGAAGTGCATGTTTCTGAATATTGAAGCACAATCTGCATGAGCATTTTTACTAAACTGTTCGCTTATGAAACGTAATTCTGTGAGCTTGCAGTGTTGTTGATGTTGTTTCCAGGCTCTCATTTTGTTGTTTCGTAACTTCCCTTGCACAGGAACGGGAAAAACGCTACATGCTGCCCCTTGATGGGTTAAGGTTGCGAGATATTGAGGGGGGAGGCTTTCTCTCCCACAAACATATGTTTGCCTTGTTTAACCCTGAGACGAGGTAGGTATCGACACCTGTAACCATAGTAACCAGAAACACAAATGGCTTGGTGGCACTCGCCAGTTAGTGTTGTGGACTTGGCTTTGGGTCCTGCCAATATTATCTCTTTTCTCTGATGGCATCAAGTCTGTGTTGGACCTTTCTTCTCAATCTCATTAAAATCAGATCTTAGTTCTCACTGTTGTTAAATAAAGATCTGAGGACATCCCTTTACGGGTCATGTCAGACCGACCTTTTGCAAACTTTGACCAACCAATGGAATGACTGGCAAGAAGTCAACATTAGCCAATCAGCAGGCAGCTTTCTGGTGCTCATAGGCACTAGTTTCAAAATTGCGACTACTCTTCGAAACACATTTTGAGAAGTTCTTGATTAAGAATTTGAAAACTGAACAGAAGTATCGGTACATTCTGGTATGGCTATTTGATGGATTGTAGGATTCTGTCCTCAGTCCCGTAACTGTCGTTCAGAATACGCTGTGTTAAATTTGATGAGGTTGCATATTAGAAAGCACATTCCAACCGTCGCTTTCATGATCTGGGAAGCGACACCCAGGGAGTTGAAAATGATATCTGGAATGTGAACGGATCCACTGGTCGGGGAACAAATAAAACCGCATTTGAGCAGATACTAGTGCCTTGAAACCTGGGTTATATAAATGTATAATATAATAATAATAAAATTGGTTGGATGAAAAGTTGTTCTGACGTGACCCATAGTAGGATGTCCTCAGATATTTGTTCAGCGGAAGCTAATTTGATGACATTGCCCTTCTTTTTTACTGTAATTCTTTCGTGTTTGGTGTTCAGGGTTGACACATAAAAATAACTCCTCCACTGTTAAAAAATAACTTTGGTTCCTCCTTTAAAGAAAACAATTGTATGTTTTGAAGCGCTGACTGACAAGATGTTCTGTCACAAGCAGAAGAAATACAACCAAAAGTTATGGGGCTGGTCTGTGAGCATGAACATTCATGGTCAAAATTCAGATAACAAGAAAATTGGGGATTGTTTTATAAATTGGTATTGATTCAAAAAAAATTAATTGGGTCGAAATTGAGAGTTAATATGAATCCAATGTATGTATTTGTGAGTGGGATGGAAGTGTTTAATAGTGTTGGGGAATCTGGAAATTTCATGATAGACAACAGTGATAGAATTCTTTTTGTCTCAAGAATGCCTATTGGCATCTGATGTTTTCGTTTCCAAAACTGGAGCAACAATTATGCAGTAAACCCAGACTGCCTCATAGACCATCACATGGCCAGTCCTGAAGAAAGGTTCAACTAAGATTGGATGCCCACAAAGACACATAGCAGTTTCTGGTTTTCTTTGCTGTGGTTTACTGTAGAACTAAAAGTGTGTTAATTCCTGTTGCAGTATTTCACTTTAGATCAGTGGATAATCTCCTCAGTAACTTTCACTTAGTCAACAGCCACCAACTACATCTTTCACTAACTGTAACCATGGTAACCTCAGCATGATAGTTGACTACTCACACCTGACTAGATAGTGAATGTCGAGGTAGATAGTGTTGTCATCATGCATTTCTAGCTTGGCGTGTAGTGTTTGTGATGAGTTCATTTCTCTTCACTAGCCCTTCTATGTTTTTTTCACAGACTGTTGGGTTTTTCTACCCAATTCTGTCCCTTCAAATAAATGTTTTGAAACATTTGATAACAACTGTTATTACCTGATAGATGAACCACTCATTACTGTATTCGACGTAATAAGCGCCCTGCCCGGCCCGTCCGGCGATATTTGTTAATATATTGGCTAGTGAACAATCTCAATTAGCACCCCTTCCAATTGATTAATTGACACAAAACTTATTTATTTGTGTATAATACGCACTCGTATGTTATATGCACCCTTAATTATGGGCAATTAAATCCTGGAAAACATATCTGTCGTACATAAACATTTTAGGCTGTCAACATAAACCATGAAATTCAGATCTTTCAACTCAAAATAATATTCTAATAGGAGCACCTTATTTCTAATTTTGAGAGCACCCTGGGCGCTTATTGCGTCGAATATGGTATGTGTTTTTCTCAGTTGGAACAGTTCACATACTACTTAACATTTGCTGAGGACCACACCCGTGACTAAGGATGACTGTTTTGGTCCTTGGTGAATGTTAAGAAGCTGTGTTTATGAGGCAAATACTGTAACTGATTACACTGCTTCAAATGTCTTCATTGAATAACCCTTCAACAGCAGCTTTTCTCAAATGACCATCAGTAGATACAAAGATATACCCGGCACTTATCTAGACAGGGGCGGTCGGGTAGCCTCGTGGTTAAAGCGTTCGCTCGTCAAGCCGAAGACCCGGGTTCGAATCCCGACATGGGTACAATGTGTGAAGCCCATTTCTGGTGTCCCCCGCCTTGATATTGCTTGAATATTGCTAGAAGCGACGTAAAACCAAAACTCACTCACTCACTCACTTATCTAGACAAGTTAATAAAGGTTGACATGACTGTGTGGCTTCTAACATGTTTGCTACACTGAGAACATAAACATATTAAATAGTTTAGCTGCAAATCAAAGTTAATGGTACCCATTCATACCACACATACCCTTTTTGGTAAAAGAGGTGAAAATATTGCTTTTTTGATTTTTGAAATAATATTGTTGAGAAGAATATTGCTGTGGTAACCTAACTATTATAATAATATCACAATAAATATGGTACCCTAGACCATTAATCTGAGGTTTGAGGTCTGCTGAGTTAAACTTCAACATTTCCTGAACATATAGTGTTTACTGAAATCAGGCAATATGGCCAAAATGGCTGACATGGCGGCCATTTTGAAAACAACTAGTTATGAAATGCTTGTAGCCAGGAGGTTTTACTGCTGTGCTTGTTGCCGTTGTATTCATCTGTTGTATTCATCTGTTGTAGTCGCATTGTTTATGCTTTCATTACAGTTACAGTTCCCTGATCTTTGTGAAACTAACCTTTTGCCACTGTTGTAATAATTGAAGATAATTCAACCAGTCCTGTCCTTTTAAGTTAAATAATTTGATTTGAGTTTAATTTGTAATGGCCTCTTTTTTCTAAGAACATGATGACCAATCAACATGATAACAAACAGAGAACAATGATCTAAGTGGCATAGTCCCTTGATGGATGGTTAGAATACAATCTTAAAGTACTGTTTCTTTGCTTAACTTATGGGGGTGGTGGGATAACCTAGTGGTTAAAGCGTTTGCTTGTCGCGCTAAAGACCCGGGTTCTATTCCCCACATGGGTACAATGTGTGAAGCCCATTTCTGGTGTCCCCCACCGTGATACTGTTGGAATATTGCTAAAAGCGGCATAAGACTATACTCACTCATTTACTTAAATTGGGTAACAAGTTCAATGTGTTTGGACAGTTTAAAAAATGATTATGTTGTGATAAGATTATTTGTTGAAGATGACTTTAATGATATAAAGAGCCTGTCTTATTTATATAAATGTAACATATATTATATTTGTGCGTTGTCTTACTAAGTGTTTTTAATAATCATTAGTAATTACTATAAATATATTTATATGAGGGATGCTACAAGGGAGGTAACCCTGATTGTGTGTCCCTTCAGGAATGTGTACAAGGACTACAAGCAGCTGGAGTTGTCTGCTGAGAACCAAGAAGACATCGACAGCTGGAAGGCGTCATTTCTACGAGCGGGAGTCTATCCTGAACGACAGTCTGAGGAAGGGTCCTCTTCGGTTAGTTGATGAGATTGATATCTGGTGCCACTCTGTAGCAGAGATGACGAAGCTAATTTGGATATCACGAGACCGAGACTTTTCTCTTGTTTGTAAACAAACACATTTACACTACAATCAAGAATGTCTGGCCTGATTGAAGTCTTTCAATGTGATTTGCGAATTGTTTGTTCTGCACAAAGGCAGTGTGAAATAATCTCATAACAGCAGAGTATGTGGACTAGCCCAGTGGTAGAAACTGGCACTAGTCCTATAGTCACTCATCTTCCCGAGGCAAGAGAGTTAACTGTCTATGAAAGTCCAGTTTCCACCCTTGCCGAACTAGGCTGGTATTATGGAGTTACATTTTGGCTGGACTAAAGAGTCTATGCATAGTCCAGTCAAAATCGCACACTGAAATCAAAATCCGGAAATCCTGTCGTGCAGATTTTGGTCGATTGCAGAATTTGCAAAGCATGTGCACTGCCAACTCGTTGTCAGCAGATATTTTCCAAATCTTATCATGTTTTTAATCAAGGTGCTCACGTGATTTGATGCATTTCGCGATGTAAGACACGTTTTATCACAATATAGATCTTGATTATCGATCAGATCGTCCTGACTGGGCGCCACCATTTTGTGTGAGGCAAACGCAAGTGATACGAGAGGTGGAATCAGATTGGTCCATAGGAGAGACTTAGAAGGGACATAACTGATAATAGCCACTGGTGGCGCTACGATCGAGCCCAGTAATTCCAGCCTAGTTCGACAAGGTTGGAAACTGGACTTTTAAAAGTCAGTTAACTCTCTTGCCTCGGGAAGATGATAGTCCCTGCCAAACTGACCAATAGTTAAGGTATCATAAGGACTAGTAGAAATTTGCCCTTTTTAAGGGTTTTGCTATATGGTATCATTATAAGGACTAGTGGATGAAAACTGTTTGTTTCTAACGCTGCTAGCTGGATACTTTTTTGCCGATTTATGTAGCCATGTTTTTTAACGAACTTAATATGGGGAGAAATCAGGTAGCAGAGAAAGAAAATAAATTTCAAATTTTCATCAAGGATAGAACTTCAATCCGAGTCAATATCGATGAATTCGGCTGAATGATAGCCTACGGACATGACAGTTTGATGCATTTGTGTAGTGGAGATACTGCTTCTAGTAAGTTGTGATGCTTCAGTAACAACAAATGTCAATGTTTTTTAGATTGGTCTTATTTTATTTTCGAGATAGGGGAGAAAGGTTTATGTATTATAGTCACTTGATAGAACATAATAATATTCAGTGGGGTTACCTACATTTTATTTTCACTAGCCAGAAAGAAAAGAATGTAGTCACGGGCTATGGGGCAGGTGTTTATTTTGCTACTGTTCTAGGGACAGTTTTGTATTTGTACAGAGCAAGGATGATATCGGCTCGATGGACCCGCAGCTGGAGAGGCAAGTGGAGACCATCCGGAATCTGGTCGACTCCTACATGAAGATCATCAACAAGACGCAGAGAGACCTGGTGCCCAAGACAATGATGCACATGATTGTCAACAACGTGAGTGAGACCCACTAACCCATACATGTTGGCAGGGGTAGAAAGTTGTAACTTTCTTCAAATACCCTACCTCTATTACATCAGAGCCATACATTCTTTTAGATTTTCAACAGACGGTCGTTCTCTGCCAACTTATCATGTCTCCCCCACAAAGGGAGGGGAGACATTGTTTTTGGCTCCCTGTTGGTGTTGGCGATCCATAGCTAGAAAACTATTCAATGTTTTTCAGCAATACTTGGCATGTACATTGCTCATCAGCTTAACAGGTGCCTTTTGCTATTTTAAAAATTTTAAAAATATTTTTTTTGGGGTTTCCATGGAGACAATTTTGAATTTGTCTCAAATGTGGGTAGGAAATAATTTGAAACCGTTCAACATATTACGCCTACATGTTTGCAGGGTTAAAAGTACTTCTGTTTCCACTAGTTGGCAATGATCTACACTTACAAGCCATCTACCTGATGGTAAACTTGGAAGTCTGCAAGGAAATGTCACTAGTTCTTCCACCCGTGAAGATCCGGGTTACAATTGGTCTTCAGCAACCCATGGCGACTAACAGGATTGGGTTGTCAGGCTCGCTGACTTGGCTGATCCATGTCATCGAATCTCAATTGCGTGGATCGATGCTCATGATATCAATCACTGGATTGTCTGGTCCAGACTTGATTATTTACAGACCACCGTCATATGTCTGGAATATTGCTGGGTGCGGCGTTAAACAAACAAACAAACGAAAAAACACTAGTTATTCCTGAATTTGACCACCTAGTAGATTGGAGAGTGGAAGGTCAGGGGTTTGATCCTGGATGCATCATATCAAAAGATGTTAAAAGATGGTACTTGTTGTTACCCTACTTGTCGCTAGGTAATATGGGGCTAAAACAAGGACTGGTCGGCTTGGAGTCAGTATACTGTGTCAGAGGGGTATTCATTTTAAAGTGGGGGCAGTCGGGTAGCCTAGTGGTTTAAGCTTTCGCTCGTCACGCCGAAGACCTGGGTTCGATTCTTGACATGGGTACAATGTGTGAAGCCCATTTCTGGTGTCCCCCGCCGTGATATTGCTGGAATATTGCTAAAAGCGGCGTAAAACCATACTCACTCACTCACTCACTCACTCACTCAATTTAAAGTGTGACATGGTACCTCAGTGAGCTAGCACTATAAAACTGGCATGAGTTAAATTTGACTGAGATTTCGGTTTTGATCAGCTATGCATTTGAATTAAGCTTCCTATTTTCATGCCTGTGCTACAGCTACATAGGCCATGGTATGTGTCTCTCTCTGTCAAAAAACTGGCAATGATAATAGCAGCCAGGCAGAAGAAATATACACTTGAAAACTGGATTTGACCAAAAAATTACAAACTTTATCAAAACATTACTTGGCTGAAAACAGTAGCCAAACACTGCAAACTTAAAACTTAAAAAACACAATCCACAACTAAGACACCAGTATCAAATACATCACCATTTAATGCGGCGTTAAACAACAAACAAACAAACAAAATTAAAGTCTAGGTTTGGAAGATGATCTGGTTAATAGGTTTACCCAAGTCAGGAACCTAATGCATTATAGGGTAACATGGCGATAGGTTTGTAAGAGTTATTCCCCCTTAATCAGATCTGACATGAAGGGTCCACATTCACAGATGACAATAGACGTCTATTTGAATATTTTCTTTTATATATATGTACCATATACGACATAATAAGCGCCCAGGGCGCTCTCAAAATAAGAAACAGGGGGCTCTTATTAGAAGAGGGCTCTTATTAGAAGATTAGAAGAGTTGAAGATAGATTTCGTGGTTTATGCTGACAGCCTGAAATGTTTATATACGACAGATATCTTTCCAGAATTTAATTGCTCATAAGTAAGGGTGCATCTAAAACACGAGTGCGTATTATACGCGAATAAATAGGTCTTTTGTACATTGATCACTCGGAAGGGGTGCTCATTGGGATTGTTCAGTAGCCAATATATCAGCAAATATCGCTGTGGGCACTTGTTACGTCTAATGCAGTAATTAAGACCCTCTTCTCAATTCTTGACACTTATTTGATAAGAACCAGTATGGACTGTGACTGAATGGGTTCAACCGATAGATTGACCTAAAACAAACGATTTACTTTTCTAACTGAAAATTACCGATGCTTTGTCCTTTCAGTTGAAAGAATTCATCAACACAGACCTTCTGGCACATCTCTACTCATCCGGAGACCAGGTAAACAAATAACTAACATCCCCCGATATTTGATGCTTTAACAGGGTGATGGTGACATGCATTAGCCTAGTAGTTAAGGCGTGTGCTTGTCACACCGAAGACACAGGTTCAATTCCCAACGTGGGTACAAGGTGTGAAGCTCATTTATGGCGTTCCTTACTGTTATATTGCTGGAAAATTGCTAAATGAGGTGTAAAACTATATCACTCATTCGCTTTGAAAGGGTGGGTGGGGGTCACATTTTGAATACCCATTAAGATCTGGTTTTGAATGGATCTTCAATAACCCATGCTATCGTAAGAGGCGACTAACCATTGTAACATAATCGGGTGGTCACCTGCGTCATACCAAAAGACGTTAATAGATAGTACTTGTTGTCACCCTGCCTGGCACTTGGCATTAGGGGGATAAGACGAGGACTGGTCGGCTCGGAGTCAGTATTCTGTGTCTGTGTGGGGTATTCATGAAGAACTGTGGCATAGTATGTCAGTGAGCTAGCACTATAAAATCAGCATTCGTCCAGACTAGTACAAGCAGCCACACACACACTCACAAAACAAATTACACGCAACACTGGGAATGGTGATGTAGTATTGTAAATATGTTTTTGCCGGGCTCGTGTGTTCGAGACGCGGAAAATAAAAGCATTTTTTTTTTTTAATGGAAACAAAAACAAAACATGCAGCAGACTTTGTGATGATGCTGCGGTGCCTGAGAACCAAGACTTTTTTTTGTAGTCTAAGGTTTTGAGTTATACATGTTGTGTGTGGAAAATTAACTCTTTATGTCAGTCACATTTTTGTAAAAGTTGGACATGGACCAGATACATGTGGAGATTAAGTGGCATTTAGAAGTTGGTATTATGAACATGAGAGATTCAGTCGAACCCATTTATCTCAAACCGTGTTATAACTTGAGATAAACGGACATTCGAGATACTGAGGGTATAAAACAGATAAGGTGAGGTGGTCGGGAACGCTGGTCAGGCTCGCTGACTTGGTTGATGCATGTCATCGTACCCCAATCCTGTAGATCGATGCTCATGATATCAATCACTGGATTGTGTGGACTCGATTATTTATCATCGCCATCATATATCTGGAATATTGCTGAGTGTGGCGTTAAACAAAAAACAAACAATATCAGGTTGCACTAGTGCATGTTTTGTAGGGTGAAATCCAGGCCTGGTTCAGGTCTTACATTATTGCATTGAATGTTATAATACTATACGGGCGGTCGGGTAGCCTAGTGGTTAAAGCGTTCGCTCGTCACGCCGAAGACCCGGGTTCGATTCCCGACATGGGTACAATGTGTGAAGCCCATTTCTGGTGTCCCCTGCCGTGATATTGCTGGAATATTGCTAAAAGCGGCGTAAAACCATACTCACTCACTATAATACTATACAGTAAAATACATTTATAATGAACACGCTTATAACAAACAGACTGATATAACATACTGTTTTTGTTTTTCCCCTGCCTTTTGCTGTGTATATGCTTTGTATATGGATATAATGATCAACAGTTATCACAAAGTAAAATTGGTGGTCCCTTTGAGTTTAATATAACCATTGTTTACTGTACCTCTATATTTAGGAAATGATGATGCCAAAGGCGCTGTTATAGAATCCATTCTATATCCATTGATAATCCAGATATTCACAACTATAAAAGGCAGATATATGAAACTATTGTTCATGTCCACTTCTCCAGGACCAGTTGTTCGACTTGCTGTTATCTGTTAATCTGTTAATCTGTTATAAAGGGTCTGATATAAAGGTCCCAAGTGCTCCTTCGTGTTGAAAGTTTCAAAACCAATTTTGTTTCTCTTCTTCTAGTCATCTCTGATGGAGGAATCTCCCGAGGAGGCACAGCGCCGAGATGAGATGTTGAGAATGTACCATGCCACAAAAGAGGCCCTCAGCATCATCGGCGACGTCTCCACGTGCACGACATACACCCCCACTCCGCCCCCGGTGGACAACGACTGGCTGAAGGCAGAGTCTGGCGGAGGAGGGGGCGGAGGAGTAGGAGGAGGAGGAGGAGGAATGCCATTTAATGGGTGAGTGGACACTTTGAACATCACCAAGGGCCTCTGTAGATCTGTGGAGTTTCTGGGGCGGATAGGTCCCCAGTACCATGCTTGTATTAGGATGTGATGAGGTGTCGTGTATGCATGCTCTGTATCTTCAGGGCTTGCGTTTCGGTAAACCTTCTCAAACACATGGATCCATTTCCATGGCTCTCTCAATCTAAAATTACCTGGGCCCACTTGCACAAAGCGATCTTAGCGCTAAGATGATCGTAACTCCCATACTTTAACATAGGCTTACAATAGTTGTAGCGCTAAGATCGCTTCGTGCAAGTGGGCCCTGCTCTTGATTTTCATTAACATTAAACAGACCAATCAAATGTCGAGATAAGGAAAAAGGAAATGGGCAAGGGAGGTAACTTGTATTACCTCGAAACAAAGACCACTGCCAGTTTTTTATGGACATGAAGACATCCTTTCCATCAAAAAAGGTTTGTGAGGGCTATCTTTTGTATTTCAGTCAGGTTTTCAATGTTCAATTTCTCCCAAGCTTTATCGTAATCAATGGGACGGGCCACCACTAATTAAGGGAGGATAATTTGAGATCGTGAGGACCACAGGAATTGATCCAGGTATCGGGTTAGTGTAGGTTTACCGAAATGCGAGCCCTGCTGAGATATAGAGGATGTTGTGTATGATCGAGAATCATAGCCTTAAGGTCAATTCATCAAGGATATAGTATTATGCTATGAAAGATAATGGGAATTAATTCCCAATTTATGTACTGTTAATTACACTTCTGTAGAAAATGACTGTTGTATCGGTGTTCATGCTATCACCCTCTTGTTCTGATCAAGATACTTAAAAAAAATGTTGTTATGGTGTAATGTCCCGTGAGGAAATCATGCAAATGTTCCATAGTGGCCTGTTGGCCTAGGTGCGTCTCCAAGGGAAAACAATGTTTTAGCGTTACTAATTCCATACCCTTGACGACCAATGACTTGTATTATGTCACGTGTTAGTGTGAAATTGAATCTCAGAGCTCATCATAATGACGTTATAAGACCAGGGCCCACTTGCACAAAGCGATCTTAGCACTAAGCCTATCGTAAGCCTATGTTAAAGCATGGGAGTTAAGATCATCTTAGTGCCAAGATTGCTTTGTGCAAGTGGGCCCAGATTTATATTTGAATTTGAATTCTTTCTGCTGCTGATTTTATCATCTTTAAATGTTTAGTTTGCTTTCATTTCCTTTTCCTTTTGTAATTATGATTTGTATTAATCTAACATTTTAGTTTTAAGTAAAAGAATTAGCTGCTTGTTTCCCCCTCATTATATTTGCACTCCCATCAGCTAAAAACTTGAATTTTTTGGAAAGTTTGTGAATGTCTAAGTTTAAATTTAAAATAATTTTTAAGTTTGTGCCAGTATGTAATTTTATGATATGTATTCTACAGTGTTCTCAATTAAGTAGGACTGAGTGAGTTAGATTTGAGGCCACTTTGAACAGAATGCCAGTTATGTCACGGTGTGTCAGCTTAATGTGGGAGGAAAGCCCGAAGTGATGCAGGTTTCAGATTTCTAGCACTTTGGTGAAGCCCACGGGCACAGGGATGGTGCTTATAAACAATGAAACATAAAAGGGGTTAATTGGGATTCGAAGTCACAATCTTATGTTTCTGGTCTGTCCAAGTGATGCCATGCCAATTGCAGCGAAGACGACTGGTGCCCCACAATTGACTGTGAATGTCAAAGAGTTCGGGTCATGACTTTAATGTTAAAGCTAAATATTCAAGACGTGTCATGACTCAGAAGTACATCTCATGTCCACAAGAACCTCCTTAATTTCAAATACAGTTTGATATTTTCAATTTTGTCATTTTACTTTATCCTTTATTTTGTTTATAAATCCTCCCATCCTCTTCCATTCTCTTGCTTTTCTTCATGCCTCCATTGGTACTTCCGATCTAATGCCTGCACCATCTCTCCATCATCACAAGCTTCATCTCCCTTGCAGCCGACCACCATCTCCCGCCAGAAACAGACCCCCTCCCCCCGTCCCCAACCGCCCTGGGGACACGGGCCTTCCACAGCCATTAATGCCCATGCGGTCAGGGCCATCCATTCCGTCTCGCCCCGCCCCCCAGGCTCCCAGTGCACCATCAGTACCGGCGTAAGTATGACACCTGCTACGTGATGGGGGGTCGGAGTGGCATTGGATGTTCATGGAGGTGACAAGTACCCATTGTGAAAATTGGTTCTTTCTCTGATATGGGCAACAGTGTCTTTGGACATTTGGATGGTATTTGGCTACTTGCAGTGTAACAGTTAAATGTAACTTGATTGATTCATTATGACTTTCTATTTTGAGACTTGTGGTATGTTTTAAAAACTTTTGAATTTTTAAGTAACAATTTATTAAATAAAAAAATCATAAAAAAACAGGAAAATGGTCATTCATCTGGCAAAATTTCATCAATCACACACAATCTCAAATTTCCATCTGCTCTGGCTATTTATCTTCTAATGTTGTATTCTTTGTTTGTGAACTCATTTATTGATTCAAGGAAAGGAAATATTGACCTGAATATCAATGGAAAATAATTAGGAGTTACCTCCCTTAGTTTTGATTAAATAAATCAACAAGAGCAATTACCTCCCTTTGTTTGGACTGGAATAAAATTGAATAGTTACCTCCCTTGGCTTTTGTGTTGCCACTGCACCAGTTGAGGTGTTTAATATGCAACCTGAACATGTGTGTTTTTGTCACCTCATGTACAAATGATGCCACTCCTGTCCTCCAACACATCAGTCCTGCAGTGATAACCTGGTCAGGTAAGAGCAAGTAGTAGATACGTCCCTCGTGGTACGGAGCATTTAGTCTGAAATAACACTTCAGCAGTATGACATCATCGCCAAGGAACTCAATGATGATGCCCCCAGCCGTTCCGTCTAGGGACTTGTTCATTCCACCTGTGTTAGCAACAAGGGCAGCACCAGAGCCACCTCGCTCACCTAAACGACCAGCGCCAACCATTCCACCATCTATTCCATCGTAAGTCTAGCTGACAAGGTTTGATATTATCAACTTCTTGAAGACAGGGAAACAGTATTATGACCTACATGTGTCAGAAGTGTACAGGATTTGACAAGCTTGAAAGATTTTGGGCTTGAAGTGAACATGAATGTTCAACTTGTAAATCCTTTTGGCTCACGACAGGCTTCCTTTCAATACCTCTTGATCTATGTCTTCTCTGTCAGAATCTTGGTATGTTAAATCAGCATGTGTTGGATGGGTGTCTGAATGTATGAGTGAGTGAGTGAGTGTGCGGGCAAGCAGGCGAATATGGTTGTACAGTCAAGTCTCATTAATCCGACATCGTTGGTCGGATTAACGAGTATGTCGGATTAACGAAATTAAGTGATTTGTGATCGAAAATCGGACGTCTTCAGATAGATAATAACCGTGTGTACCTTGTAATAAAATCATTAAAAACGAAATATTTATATTGTTATGTTGTTTATTCATTCATTCCTTAATTTATAATTAAGGACATTGCAAAAATAATAATAATTTTCCCATTTATGCATAACAATAGAGACATTACTCACTGAATTTATCACATCAACGACACACGTTTCCTTTTCCTGTTAATTGTTAAGTTAATCTCTGCAGCCAGTGCGTGTCAAAACACAGGGTTGTGTACTCGCGGGCAGATGACCACGGAGTACGCTGATCACTGTGTTGGATTAATGAGACTGATTAATGAGTGATTTCGGTAATTCGTTGCAAATTAGGTGTGTCGGAGTCGGAGTGCGAGAATGTCGGATTAACGGGACTAAATAGCATTGAATCAATCGGTTCCCATCACTTGTGTCGGATAAAGCCGAATGTCGGATCAACGAGTGTCGGATTATCGAGACTTGACTGTACATTGTATTTCAGCAATATCACAGTGGGGGACACCAGAAATAGGTTCACATGATGTACCCATGTGGGGATTCGAACTCGGGTCTTCAGTGTGATGATGATGATGATGATGATGATGATGATGATGATGATGATGTTGATTAATAACGATGCCTTGCCAATAGTTCAGCCATAGAGCTATATGATTTATATTGTTAGAAAGACTATCCGCCACAGGCCAGTACCAAGTTTACTGCAAGGTTGAGAATCACCATAAAATGTCATCAGACAACAGAGTGGTGTTTAAATGACTTGAATCAAAACTGCTCGGGTCTAGTCCCCCATTAACATCAACACTTTAAACAAAAATCAACTTGATGTGACGAGCGACTGACTTCATACCTACCAGTATCATGATGATGATGATGATGATGATTATTATGTCATGATATTGGTTCTGAAAGGCAAGCCGACTTGTGTTATACAAGATGGCGACAGGTCTATCAGACAGCTAGATTATTTTTCAAATCAAGATAAATTATCTATGATTAACAAACACAACTTTATTACCGATCCAAATCAAACTTAAACATTAATACAGAAATCTTATACAATATGTATTATTTTTTTCTAATTATATTTTGACCTACCGACTAAATGTTTCAGTATCTAAATAAAATATCTAGTTGGCTAGTTAGCTGTCACTGCACCCAATGTTGTGGGATGGTGCTCATGATATCTATCATTGGTTCTCTGGTCCAGATTCAATTACAGTCAAGTCTCGTTAATCCGACATCGTTGGTTGCACATGATTGTGTCGGATTAACGAGTATGTCGGATTAACGAAATTAAGTGATATGTGATCGAAAATCGGACATCTTCACGATAGATAATAACCGTGTGTACCTTGTAATAAAATCATTAAAAATGAAATATTAATATTGTTATGTTGTTTATTCATTCATTCCTTAATTTATAATTAATGACTATGCAAAAATAATAATAATTTTCCCATTTATACATAACAATAGAGACATTACTCACTGAATTTATCACATGATCAACGACCCACGTTTCCCCGTGTAAATGCAAGTGCTACTGTCTTAACAACTTGCTTCATCTACTTAAAATAGTCTGTCAGTGCGTGTCAAAACACGGGGTTGTGTACTCGCGGTCAGATGACCACGGAGTACGCTGATCACTGTGTCGGATTAACGAGACTGATTAATGAGTGATTTCGGCAATTCGTTGCAAATTAGGTGTGTCGGAGTCGGAGTGCGAGAATGTCGGATTAACGGGACTAAATAGCACTGAATCAATCGGTTCCCATCATTTGTGTCGGATAAAGCCGAGTGTCGGATTAACGAGTGTCGGATTAACGAGACTTGACTGTATTAACATGCTGCCTTCATGTGGTTGGAATATTGTGGGAGTGCAGCGTTAAACAACAAAGTAATGATTTCTTTATGAAGTTGTTGAAAAGGTCGCTAAGGGCAGATAATTTGAATTATCTCCCTTTGGTCACTTTTGTGAAAAAGGCCCCAATGTGTGTGTGAAATAAGTGATTTTATTCACAGGTTGCTCTGGTATAGCTGGAATATTGCTGCAGTGATAGTCAAAATTCATTTGACTTGGACTCGCAAGGAATAATGATAATAATGATAAATAAATCTAAAAATCTTTTTGTGTTTACGTAATACTGATGTGAATTTAATCATGTTTATATTCATTTTTTTTCAGACGCCCAGGAGGTAATTCTCAAGGGAGTGTCCGAGGCGCCCCCAAAATCCCTGGTCGGCCCACAGTACCAGCTAGACCTCAGTAGACCTGTGATGAGTAGACAGATAGACAGATAGACAGATGGACACGGCAATAGGCAGTAGACCATAGTGATTATGCAAAAGTATTGTAGGGATAAAACCAGGTGGGTTTTCATATGTAAATATCTCGCTACCATTACTTGTGATGCAATATTGTCTAGGTGAAGAAAACAGAATGTCAAAACATAGTCAAAGAATTTTTTACCAAGTTTTTTACACGTCACCCAGCTGTTTTACAGCCTTGTTAAGTTCAGTTTGTTCATAGTGTATATTTATTGTATGTAACCGATACTTAGTTTGTAGACAATGTCAAATATTGGTTTGAACATTTCGAGAAAATAACTACATTTGAATTGCATTTTGATAATGCATGTGATAGTCTGTTTTAAGGAGAATGTGAAATTTTGAATAATCGAATAGTTTCTCTTTTGACGTGAATAATCTGGTCTTTGTGGACTGTGTTAAGGAACTTTTACCTACTATCCATATTCATCATGTCTGCTAGCAGAGGGACAAAAATTGATGAAACCATTCATCATTTCTTTCACTAGTTACATGTTGTGAAACATCTTTCATGAGTACAGTCGGCAAATATACATAGATTTAGATTACAGTGTTAGCTAAGAGAATTTATCTGCCAGTAACATAAGCAACCAGCATCTATAGGCACTAGAAAGTTATTTATTCAAATTTATCTGATGTAGGTCAAGGTCAGTGGCATGATCTAGGTCAAGGTCAACTGACGATCTTAGTCAGGCTCATTTTTTGCGAGGTCAAACTGTATGTAACAGTTGCACCCGGTATTTAATGTCTTGTGTGATGCCAAATAAAGGTCATAGGAGTATAATTCACCTCAAGTATATTTCGTGACATAATATGTCAATGGTGTCTATGCTCTTTGAATGTGTTTTCTTGGCCTAATGCAAGACAATAGACATATATATGTATACGTTGTTTGTACTATTGAATCTGTTACCATGGTTACCAAACTTGTTTGTACATTCTGTATGTGTTGTATATTTGCATATTTGCACATTGTCGTGGAGGTAGAGATGGGTACAGTACATGTCCTTCAGTATGGAATTGTTGTCTGTTGCAAATAGATAAAAGTTTATCGTCAGTGTGATGAAGGTGACCGTGTCATTTTGCATCAGCCAACAGGATATTTTTGATTCAAAGAACAATTTACTTGACTTTTTGTGAAATATATACATATATTCTAGATGAAATGAGATCATGACTTCAATTCTCTGTGTCAGATCATCATCATTTTTATCTTTTCATGTCCTATCATGCAACTTCAAGAATTATTACTGCTTTATGAATCTTTCATATACCGCTTCTGTTTTGTTTGTTAGCTTTTAACATTATGCCTGGGTAATATTTATATGATGCATGTTTTGAAAGGATTTCATTACATTAAGTGTAAATACCAGTCATTACAAGCATAATTCATTTATTCTTCCAGGGAAATTGATCACTTTGAAAATCTTGTTCATTTGTCATTCATTTTATTTTATTCTGCTTATTGCGTATTACGGAGCTTCTGCACAGAGTTATTCCCCTTTGAATATCAATATAGGGGACTGGTCATTTAGTATAGGGTGGGGGGACAGTGAAATTAAATGGGGGTGGAGAATAAATGACAGGGAAAAGGTGTGTGTCAGAATTTATCACAACTATATGGGCAAAGAAGAATGACACATGGCTCAGGGTGGGGGGGGTTGGGGGGTTGGGGGGTCGGGGGGTGGGGGGGTCCTGTATGTTTGATAGGTTGTTGGTTACTGCTTTCGGACATAGTCAAATAACATATCAATTAAAGTTAATAAGATAAATAATAATTATTTATAGGTATACATTTATACAGTAAAATGCCCTACTAACTCCATTCGTGTGCAGTTACCTGTGCAGTCCTATGGTTTATAGGGACTGGGAGGCAAAACCTTGCTGTATGGAGCTTGGCATTCCTGGCTCAAGGTGTTTATTAGGTGACAGTAAGATTTATGTGAAAGGGCTTTTAGGTTGAGGCCTGAGTTATTGTTGGTTTTATTAGAGTCTGTGCTGCTCTAACCTCGGAACTTCAGATATGCTTCAGACTGAGTCAAATTACTGCAATTGCTGTTTTAAGCATCCTGTTCAAGTAAACGCCCCTTCACCAACTTCTGAACCGATTGGAAGTACCGTATTCGACGTAATAAGCACCAAGGGCGCTCCCAAAATTAGAAATAGGGGTCTCTTATTAGAATATAATTTTGGAGAGAGAAAAAAAGAGTTGAAAGATCGTAAATTTCATGTTTTATGCTGACAGCCTGAAATGATACAAAGGAAAAGTTATATTTCCAGATATATTTTCCAGAAGTGAATTGCCCATAATTGCCCATGAGCGCATATTATACACAAATAAATAAGTGTACATTGATCAATCGAAAGGGGTGCTAATTGGGATTGTTCACGAGCCAATATATTAGCAAATATCGCCGTGGGCCCTTATTAGAGCGGGGCGCTTATTACATCGAATACGGTAATCGTAATAAGTGCCTCCTCCTAAGACCCCATATTTTAAACTTTTCTTGTGTATATTACAAATGTTTTACTGGAAAATAACCACCCCACCCCTTGTCAATTCTCTAAGCTTCCATGCGTATTATGGTAAATATGGTAATTATATTTTGGCTATTACTGGCCATCTTGTGTGTCATGTTTTCGCTGGTGAGGCGTAGGCTTGATGAAAATTGGAATTGTGTCAAATGTTTCAAACTGCTTTGACAACTGATAGGACACAAAATGAATCCAATATGGGTTCTGATTAAGAGATGTTGCAATGTATTGAAGATACAGTGTTTCTATTCCAGCAACAAGAGACAGTGTTTATTTTGGAAGCAGCCTTGAGGATTGCTTTGCCTCATGTTGAGATCATGACATCCACGGTCTAATTTGATCATGTGATAGTTGTTCCATTATTTTGAAATCATACAGGTTGATGGAGTGATGTCACAACATGATGACTTCATACATGATAATTGATTATCATAGGAAATATCTTTGTAGTATTACAATGACTCTGAACAGAACAGTGCTACTCGTGAGCTTGAGGAAAGTGTCCAGACATTGCAGTTTCTAAAGGTGCAAGATTTGATTTGATTTTCTGACAATCTAATTTGACATTTGATCTATTTGTCTGAAGATGTCAACAAAAGGGAACTCCAAACATGGTTATCTGCTGTAAGATTCTCAGTATAAAATGTTAAAATAATAATATACCCCTGGAAATATGTTTGACACCTCACTTTTTTATTTTTGTATGTGCCAAACTTCATATATCTTTTGGAAATACATATAACATTGATTTCATTTTGATAAATGTCAAAGCACGATACATGTGAAACTTTGGTCAAGAACACAGTGTTTTATTTCAGATGGAGTCATTGCCTATGCTATACAGAAGCAGAGCATACAATTGTAGGGTGGTCCTAATACGACTGCAAAAGTTACAAAACCATTTATTGTTTTTTTAGTCTGTACTAAATGTATTTTGTCAGAAAATTAATACAGGATAAAAAAATTTAATGGCTGTTTTTTGGGGTGGTAATATATTGCTAATCTTTTTCTAAGTATATAGATATTGGTTAACCTCAGGTAATCCAGACAAGATGTTGTAGGTGCAATATTTTGTGTTATCAGATTGAAGTTTTGTGACAGTTTTCTATTTGAATAACTCAAATTTACTTTATGTAAGAATGTTTCTAATTTTACATACACCCTTAATCCTATTACTGCACAAAAAATCATGGAACAAATGGTGGTTTATATGCTTGCAATATTAATTCAAATATTATATACAAACAAGATAAAACAGTATTGTTATTTTGGAAAAAAATATTGGTCAGTGAAATTGTTTTAATTATTATGCTAATTTATGAATTTTGCAATATTATTTATTGCCTTGATTCTTGACATGAAAAGTGTATCCTTAGTTTTCAGTATTTTATTGTGTTTTCAATAATAGTTAAAGTTAACTTATGGGACCCATATGAAGTGATTGTTTTGAAAGGCTGAACTTTCTTGTAATAGTGTATGACATTTGGAGTTGATCATGCAAATGAGACAGCCGTGTGGTTGAAGCGTTTGTTCATAGTGCCGAAGAGGGGCGGTTGGGTAGCCTAGTGGTTAAAGCGTTCGCTTGTCACGCGGAAGACCCGGGTTGGATTCCCGACATGGGTACAATGTGTGAAGCCCATTTGTGGTGTCCCCCGCCGTGATATTGCTGGAATATTGCTAAAAGCGGCGTAAAACCATACTCACTCACTCACTCACTCATAGTGCCGAAGACTCAGGCTAGAAGTTCGACAAGGGTACAGGGCAAGGTGTTCTCAGGATGCTGCACTATTGCCAATGGAATCGTTCAGCCAAATTCTGAAGGAAATTCTCAAAATTGATTGTGGATTACCATATTCATCTATTGAGTGCCCAGAAACCAGCACCTACATGTTTTGAAAACAAAACTTAAGTGTTCTTGATTGAGATAATATTTGTTTCTTAATTCGGGAGACATTATTCTGAAATATTCTAATAATTAATTGGTCATAACAAATTGGATGTGGTGATCTCAATTGAATAAGTCACAAACGGAATAGGTCACAAACAGTGGTGGTGTTTGATTCTGGGCACTTGTTATGTCAAATAGGCTCTCAGATGATAGTAAACCAGATTAAACGACTTATTTATGTTGAAACGGTGAAAGTCATATCCAAACTGTGTAGATTTTTAGCAGAAAATTCCAGAACACATCTGATATTGAATGTGTGCCACAGCCAACAAGAACGGTGTCAAGAGATTCAGCGAAATGAAGATAGTATTGCCAGAAAGATTCAGTCATCGTAGTGGTCATCATGCTTGACCGATAGACTGACCAGTGGCTGTAGCTAGATGATGGTGGTGCCACCTGACTGTACCGTTTATAGATTTGTCTGAATGTCAGAACTTGTACAGATGTTAATAAATATATTGCATTGGAATCTTGTCTGTTTGTCTTGCAATATGAAACTGGGGCGGGGGTAGCCTTGTTGTTAAAGCGTCACACCGAAAATCTGGTTTGATTTCCTATATGGGTACATTGTGTGAAGCCCATTTCTGGTGTTCCTTACCATCATATTGCTACAAGCAGCATAAAACCTCTCACTCACTCTGTATGAATATAGGTCCCTAGCAACCAGTGCTTGTTGTAAGAGGCGACTAAATGGATCGGGTGGTCAGGCTCCATGACTAAGTTGATTGCATGTCATCATACCTTGTTGGTGAGGATTGCTTATAATGTCAATCTCTGGCTTGTATACTCCAGGTTCGATTATTGTGCCATATTAAACAACAAACACTTTTCAGTGTTTACATAAGAATAGAACGCAAACTGCAGGATTCCATGGGAATGACAAAGTACATTTTTCTGTTATAATACCTGTTCCCATCTGCATGGCATAAACGGACTGAGATGTAATTGGGACCTCAATTTCAAGTTGTACGAGGGGCACGGGTGGCCCAGTCGTCTAAGGCACCGCGATTAGCTGTGCAGAGTCGCGTCCCTTGGACACGCCAGAAACCTATGATTGTGGGTTCGAATCCCGGTTCGCCCCAATTATGTTTCTAGGTTTGTCAGCACCATACCCGTGCTCGTAGGTTTCACCGAAGTGGTAAAAGTCTGAGACCTGCATCACTTCGGGCTTTCCTCCCACATTAAGCTGACACGCCGTGATATAACTGGAATACTGTTAAAAGCGGCTTTAAACCCAACTCACTCACTCAAGTTGTACGATTATCTTTTGTTTTTTATATCCCGTTCCACAAAGCAATCTTAGCACTAAGACGATCGTATGTCCCATACATTAACATTGGCATATGGTAGTCGTAGCACTAAGATCGCTTTGTGGAACAGGGTCTTGTAGATTTATCTTCCCTGAACACGGAATTTGGTAGTGAACGCGAATATATGGCAAAAATATTGTGTGAAGTGGCATGGTTTCACACCAATGTTTTTTTTCAGTTGTGGATCCGAATTAAGGAGACACTGATAATCTGCCAACAATTTATGGTTAAACTTTGTTTATACTTTACTGGCATATAAAAGAAGTTTTGAGGGTGCGTTGCACAGATACTTCTTAAGCCAACGTGACGTTGGCTCCCAAAACAAAATTGCAGTTTTGTTCAACTTGAGTGTCGCTGTTATGATATTCCTCATTGTGAGGCAAAAATACTTGAAGTGACAGTCAGGTATTGAGAATCAACAAACTCTGTTGCCTTAGAAAACATTCTTTTCGTCTTTTCCCGCTCCAAATGTAATGCACCGAAACTTTGAATATTGTTGTAACTGCCAATTTGCCAAAATATAACTGTAAAAAGGGGCTTTATGGTCGAGTTCAAAACTAGAGACGTGTGTGTACAGTGTAGCTGATAGTTGTTGTCCGGTCTTGTGCAGGTTTTATAGTGAGACTCACTACCATGACAGTTTAAACATGGATACCCCGCTCAGACACAGTATACTGATTCCGAGACGGACAAACTGTTTTAGTCCATTAATGCCGAGAGGGCGGTGGGGTAGTCTAGTAGTTAAAGCGTTCGCTCGCCACGTCGAAGACCCGGGTTGGATTCCCCACATGGGTACAATGTGTGAAGCCCATTTGTTGTGTTCCCCGCCGTGATATTGCTGGACTATTGCTAA